TGTGTGTGTGTGTGTGTGTGTGTGTGTGTGTGTGTGTGTGTGTGTGTTTTGGCCCGTGCATAAAGTAGCAAGTGCTGGAAATCAGTCACTATTCAGAGAGGTGGTGGCATAAAGTGATTACCAGCACAGCCTCTGTGTGGAAAGAGGCCTCTTTAGTTCACATCATGGCCCTACCAGTTGCTAGCTATTACCCTGGGCAGGTTATTCCCTGTGCCTCAGTTTCCTCATCTGTTAATTGGGGGTGTAGTCTTATCTTCCTCTCAATTATTGTGAAGGTTGTAAGAGGCGCTTAGTAGGTATTATAGTTATCACTGTGGCTATCGTTGTTACATGCTTTTGTTGGGGAGCTGGGCGGATCCCCATTTCCTAGCATTTACCCCAGTGTCTCCTTCTCTGAAAGCCTTGGGAGACCATTTCAGAAGAAGTGAATATCGCTGGAGACTCTCTCAGTCTGGCTCTGCCCCCACCACCGGCCTCCCCGGGATCTCGGACCAGCCCTCAGGAGCTATCAGAGGAACTGAGCAGAAGGCTTCAGATAACTCCAGACTCCAATGGGGAACAGTTCAGCTCTTTGATTGTAAGTATTGGTCTTGTTCGAAAGAAAAGCTGAGCAACGTTTCATTGTTTTTTGTTGCTTTAGGAGAATCTTTTATGTAAATAGTGACCAAGGGCCTTCCAGCTCCCAGTTAACTCACATTTTCCAAAGTTCCTCCTTCCCTAGGAGAAGCAGGAGTATACTAAAATTAGCCTAAGCAGGTGAGAATCTTTCTTGATTTGGAAGGCAGCTTTGCTCACCCCATACCACTAACACTTGCTTGGTTTATAAAGAACTCAAAGAAATAAAACTCCATGATGCCTGTAAATGTTAGCGTCAACCTTGTAGAATCCTTTCCCAGCCAAAAGGCTCATGACAATAGTACCTTAACACAAACCTAGGATGTCACAGTACCAATTAAAAGCCATCAGACCTAATCAGTTCTCTTAAGTCATGTTCTGCAGGCTTTATAATTCTCATTTCACTGATAAGGGCATGAGGCTTAAGTGGCCCATCCAAGACAAGGTTTGAATGGGAGATGGAAGACATCTCCTAAGTCCCAGATTATGAACCCTTGAGAAAGATTGTGAAATTGTGACACTGTCATCAAGGTAGCATTTTAGCTTGGGCTTTCAACCATCAGAAACATACTTTCTAGAAGTTTCAGATGGGTCCAGTGCCTGAGCCCAATGGAATCAGTCACAAAGACTTCCATGTTTGACAATTCAGAATGGTGCAGAAATAACCCATAGAAAATCACTGCTTGTGCATAGAATTAAGAGCAAATGAAGTCTTTCTCAAGAAACTGAACTAAAAGATGTATGCTAATAAATGATGGTAGTCATTCCACTGAAAACGGCATCCTAGAAAAAATAGTCATTACAATGACCATAACGAACATAAATGATAGCACTGCATACAATGTAAAAGCAAATAAGTACTTACAAAATTACTGCTTTATGGTTACGGTGTTTTTATTTTAAAAGACACTGTAGGCCTCTGTTACATGAGTTGCATTTATTATTTGGCTGATGTGATTTCACATTAAAATTCTGTGACTTTTTCAAAAAGAGATGTGTCACTGAGATGAAAATGTAGTACTAAATGGACAGGATAAAAGAGATTGCGTGTATATGGGTTATTTGAATTGGTAAAACTATTGTTACAGAAACAACATAAGCAATGAAGCCCTATATTTAAAATCTATGAAACCAAGGAATTACCACAGAAACCATGGCAATAACACACCTTTAGTCAACCAAGTGAAAAACATTGTAATTTTCTTCAGCATTAATAATAAGTTAGCCATTCTAGTTCTTTGAATGGGAAGCTCCTGCATTTAATAATTCTAGATGCATCAAATATCCTTAAGACCAAAGTACAACACTGTATTATTTTCACATCATGTTAAACCGTTAAATAAGAGTTAAATAGGAGACTCTTCTCCAGTTTTGCTTATCAGGATTACTCTGTATTCAAGATCAAGAACATGAACTTTGACTGGGCATGGTAGCTCACGCCTGTAATCCCAGCACTTTGAGAGGCTGAGGCAGGCGGATCACCTGAGGTCAGGAGTTCAAGACCAGCCTGGCCAACATGGTGAAACCCTGTCTTTACTAAAAATACAAAACTTAGCCAGGTGTGGCGGGGTGCACCTGTAGTCCCAGCTACTCAGGAAGCTGAGGCATGAGAATTGCTTGAACCCGGGAAGCGGAGGTTACAGTGAGCTGAAATCGCACCACTGCACTCCAGCCTGGGTGACAGAGGGAGACTTTTATGAAAGACTCATTCCCTCACAGTAACCAATGTGGGAAGACATGAATTGTCCCCCATCCCTACCACAGAGTCTTATACCATTTACTTATCGCAGAATATTAAAAATGAGTAAATACCAGAAACTGATACCATGGATAAACTTGCTGATAAGGAGACTCTGGCTTCTGTGTGTGATCTACTGCTAATCCTCATTCATGTCAGTTAGGCTTCATTTAACCACATAGACTAAGTGAGAGGAACACTTAGGCAAATGAGAGGAACATTAGACACTACACACTAGATTTCTTTTTAGCTTGATCTCACTATTTTTAATCATTCCTATCTTTACTCCTTGAACTCCGCTTAGAAGCCAAAATTGGCAGGGCACAGAGGTTCACACCTGTAATCCCAGCACTTTGGAAGGCCAAGGTGGATGAATCACCTGAGGTCAGGAGTTAAAGACCAGCTTGACCAATATGGTAAAACTCTGTCTCTACTAAAAATACAAAAACTTAGCCAGATGTGGTGGTGGGCGCCTATAATCCCAGCTACTCAGGAGGCTGAGGCAGGAGAATCACTTGAACTCAGGAGGCAGAGCTTGCAGTGAGCCAAGATCATGCCACTGCACTCCAGCCTGGCCAACAGAACAAGACTCTGTCTCAAAAAAAAAAAAAAAAAGAAGAAGCTAAAATTATAAATACCTTATCTTTCGGAAGTAGGGCAAGATGATGTCTGAGCATCCTCAGAATATAGGATGCAACTGACTCTTTGTAATAATCAATAAATGTTGAGTAGCCACATATCACTATTTCTTCCTTGTTTGACATCACATTAAAATGTACCCAGAGGGTGCATCTTAAAGCAGACTAGAAGACTGCTGGCTTCTTTCTGTTTGTAAAGCCCCATTAGAGCGTTGCAGAGTCCTGTTGAGTCTCCTTTCCGAAAGGTTTTGTCTCCTCTTACTTTTGCCATTTATTCTAAGGACCAATCAGAATTCCAGTCTGCATAACTGAAAATTAAAGTGGAAGATGACTTTTTAAAGGATGACTGTCCTTGCTCTGGAAAGATGTTTCATTTAATTACCTTCTAATATCGAACAGTGGTGAATGAGATTGAGTGATACATTTATTAAACCAATGGAAGTAGCTTTTAAGAATATATTTCTTGATGCTTCCTGTCTTTTTCTCTTCTTCCAGCAAAGAGAACCCTCCTCAAGGTTGAGGTCATGCAGTGTCACCGACGCGGTTGCAGAGCAGGCTCATCTACCGCCGGTAACCCACGCTAATTTCCAATCATCAGTTGGTGCTTTTGGCTTTCATTTACAACCATCTGGGCTGCTGCAAAAAGAGTTTTTCCTGTGTACATTGTGTTTATCATATAAATGAGATGTTTTTAAATTTCCTGGCAAATTGCCCTAGAAAAGTAGATTTCCAATACAGAGAATTGTTATTGTCACCCAACTCTAAAATGCTGAAACCTTCATTCCTTTAGTTTGTCACCCAAATTGATACCCATTTTGATTTGCTCACTTATGTTTCTTGGTGCGTTAGTAATTCTTTGTACTTTATTGAGTTACTATAGTTACGCTCCAGTGATCTGTACTTTGAAAACACATTCCCGTTAACCAGGAAGAACTCTTCTGGGTGACCATCCACATGTTCCTTTACCTCCTAATGATCTGAACTCTGAACTCTGAAAGGCCTCTGTACCTTCTCTTTAAAGGCAGCTGTACTCACCAAGAATTTGCTATAATTCGTTCCAACTCGTTCATCATTTTAATAGCTATCAGCAAATGTAGAAGTGCAGGGGATTTCATAACAACTGATGTATGTAAAAGTAAATACTCAAGTTGGAAGGCAGAGTAGAAGTGCCTTGAGAGATGTTTGATGTATGCTTTAAAAATAAGAAATTTTACATAAATTTGTTTCTTCTTTTGGAGGTGACAATATGTGGTTTTAATGTGTTCAATTTGATGTTTCACCTTGACAGTTTTTGTCTGTTGTCACAAAACCTTGATCATTTTTAAGACTAATAATGTATTATGTATGAATTTGAGGGGGGAAAAGTACATTTAAGGTTTTTGAAATCACAGTGTCTTCCCTCTCATGTATGTTTTTTCTTGATTTCAAAGGATATTTTGGCCTAGGTTTTATTTATTTTTATGTTTGTGAAAAAATTAATGAGTATACTCGTCAAGAAAGCAGTCAAAATAATAGATTCAGTTGTGACTTATCACGGGAGAGACCTTAATCATAAGCTTGATAAGAGCTACTTTTCTGGGATGGTTCCAGTACAGGGCCCCAAAAACGAAACAATCAACTGTGATGGACTGGTGGGGTCCTTCTCAACCTCATGATTCTGTGATTTTCCTTGAATGCATGGTACTTTCTCTCCCTTTCAAAATCAACGTCAATTTTATTTCCCCAAGAGCTTACTTTCCTGAAAACTGGTGATTCCTCTCTTTCTTTGTACCCTGTGATGCTGTCAACTCACTGATCACCAGTGGCCTCTTAAATTTTGAGTGTTGGCGAATTTCAGAATCTGCCAATGATTTGACAGTGGGGGACAAAACCAGAAGAGCTTTTTATTTTTCTCCTCACTTTTTTGAGGTTGTCGTTGTTCACCCAGATCAAGGATGAGCCACCTCGGGTGGCGTGGGGGTCACACTTCCTTTGTGCTACTGGTCATCAGCGACTGCTCGGCTTTGTCTGGACAGGGTGGGTTTCAGGGGTTCTGAGCTCATGTCACCTGCCTTACAGCACTGCCACAGCGGTGGCCCCTGATTCAGCAAGCAGTGGGTTATCCCCTAAGTGCATTTCACTGATGTAAATTATCATTCACAGCCCAGTGCCCCAGCTAGGAGAGCACGTTCATCAACTGTCACGGGTGGTGAGGAACCAACGGTAATGATCCCCTTTGCCAGACACCCATGGCAGGAGGCTGTGGGCAGTCTTAATATTCGTGTAGTGGTGACTATACTCTCTTTTTAAATGTAAGATTGGCTCCTTTGTGCCACAGAGCTGCACACATTTCTTATTTTAAGCTTCTCATTCCTGGGATTGTTTAAAGAAAGGTTTTGGGTAAAATAGAATGACATTTAGTCCCACATAATTTTATTAGGAATACTAACAGGCTTTAGTTAAGTATACTTAACTTGACCATTTAGAAGATATTTTTGCCTTTAGTATCTGTACTCCTGATAAGCTTTTCCTTTTCATTAGGATGCTTCGTTAAAATAATTTGGTTGGAAGATAATCAGAGAAGCCATGGGAATTGCATGAGATTGTGCGTGTGATCCCTGGGTGTGCCCAGGGCCGTTCTCTTTTCTGTATCTCCCCTACCACTTTTTTTTTTCTTTGAGTTGGAGTTTTTGTCTTGTTGCCCAGGCTGGAGTGCAGTGACATGATCTCGGCTCACTGCAACCTCCGCCTCCCGGGTTCAAGCGATTCTCCTGCCTCAGCCTCCCGAGTAGCTGGGATTACAGGCACCTGCCACCATGCCCAGCTAATTTTTTGTATTTTTAGTAGAGATGGGGTTCACTGTGTTGGCCAGGCTGAACTCCTGACCTCGGGCAATCCACCCACCTTGGCCTCCCAAAGTTCTGGGATTACAGGCATGAGCCACCGTGCCTGGCCCCTACCACATTTTTAAAAGGAGGTTAGACTTTTCTTGTCTCCAGAATGCACCAGTGACCCTTTCTCTGCCACCAGGGGCTCTTCTCACAGGAATGAACAAGTTTCTGTAATTCCAGGGTCGGGGAGGGTCATAATTAAGTTATATAAGTGATCTGGAAAAATTGATGTTTCTCTAAGCCAGCCATTCTTACTCATTATTTTGAATAATTTATGGTATTCATGTTTGTGAGTGACTTAGATTTGACCATGTATTTTAATACCCTGTTTTCCACTTGATCCCTAAAGTTAGGCTAGCTTACAGTTTATGCTTCGAACTGCAATAGCTATTTTAAAGAATTTCCTTACTGTTCTACCTGTGGTGTATTTTGCTGTAACTGCTCATTACTTGTGGATAACTTTACTTATACAGTTGCTGATTTTCTAAAAGATGTCGATGACTTCCATTTAACGCTCAGCCTTGTACAGAGGAAAATCAAACTGGCAATAATCAGCCCAGGAGCAGTCAGCTCAGGTTAAAGTATTGAGCTGCAGTGGTTTACGTGAGTCACTGAGTCGTGTGCTGAGTGAAGCGGCCTCCAGTAGAACTCAAGACATTCTACGTAAACTGTTTCCCACCATGCACTTGCAACTTCTGTGAGAGTAGTGGAGCTTCAAGGGAGACAAGATCATTTTGTGAAATAATTTTCATAGAATTCAGTGCTGATGAACATCATCTGTATATCACCTGTGTTTGCATTTCGTTAGCCTTGCAACCTGCGTGTAGCTTTGGAGCTGTACTGGTACTGTGTATAGTTGTCGTAGCTGATGTAGTAAACGAAGGATGAGCGGAATCATTGCAGTACCAAGCTCCATGGCAAGGGTCACCCGGCAGGACAAGGTGACCCCTCTGAATGAGATCCCAGCTGGCACTTTAGAGTGCCCTTTTCTTGCCTTCTTGCCTGTACTCTCCATCATCCCCATCACTGAGTTTCAGCATGGGTTGGGTTTTTTCTTTCCACAGGCTTGGCAATATTCGTTCCTAAGTGTTCATCTACTCTGGCGCTTTACTTTCTCCCTACCTGGTTAGGTGTGAAAGGATCACATCCATTTCTCTTCTGCGGTGTCCTGCACGTTTCTCTTCCACATCCTTTGTCATGAATGCCCTTGACGTTCTGTCTTGCAATTCTGTCTCATCACCCTGTGTTTCCCTCTTTGGCATACCCTCTGTTCCTCTGCACATCACTCACACTGGTGTACTGTCCTGGGCTGCAGCCACCCTGGGATTATATCATCTCACTCCCTCTGTGTGCTCTCACAGACATATGGTGGGTACACATATGTGCACATTTGGGATGTCACGTATACATTGCTCAGCACCTTGGGTTTTTTTTTTTCTAACTTAGGGTCATTCTTCTGGGACATGTTAATAATTACATAATATTCAGTGACGTGGATGCACGACAGTGTTTATAATTTCCCCACATTCAAGGACTCTCTGCCCCCCCGCCATGCTCTTTTGACTCCGTACGCTATGCTGAAGTAACCATCCTGGTATAGCTGTCTTTCTATGATAGTGCTTTCATTCTTGTAGTCTAATGAACAAGCCCTGATTCTCAGCCAAGAAACGACAGCCCTTTGATTTATGGCAAATAAGTGCACAGTGGTGTCACTTGCTGGCCGGCTATGCCAGGGCCCTCCCCATGAGATAAAAGGAGAGGGATAGAACAATCCTTTCAGTCTTTGTTGTATGTATTCTAAAAATACACGAGGCCACCAGTACAGGGTTGGTGCAAGTCTTGGCAAATCTGCGATGGTCAGCATCAAAGTGGTTATTTTTAAAAGCATATTGAAACTTCTGCAGCTTACAATCATGTTCTTTATTTTAATGAAAAAAACAGAGCCACTAGGAAGTTCTAGCTAATGGCTTTTTGGTATCACAAAGCAGTAGTGTATTCAGTCTATGATAAAAAGCTGTGAAATATTAAGCTAAGTCGCAGTTTCTAACTGGCTTCTTCATGACTTTTTTGTTGAGCTAGCGTTAAACGTACTCACGAGCATAGAACAGCAGAAGGCTGGTTTTGGCCTCGTGGCGAGCCCTTCCATGGTCTGTGTGTAGAAGCTGAGTCCTGCCCCCTCAACTAGCTGTGTGGGGTAGGAGGCAGGGTTGCGAATTACAAATGGAATCATCAGCACAGGTTGTTCTATGTGGTCAGTTGGCAAGAACACTTTAAAGAAACATTTCCAAAATGCCCTTGCACATAAAGGTAACTAAATTACAGGTTGCCAGTCAATTTTCAAAAGAAGAGAGAATGGGCATTTTAATCAAATTTAGTGTTCTGTACTACACTCCTGAGTTTCCGCAGACTGATAGTACTGTTCACTCCTGCTGAATCTCCACACCTGAATCCAGAATGCTCTATGATCCGAGTCTTTCTGTCTTTATAAACTATCTTTATGGAGCTTTAGGATTTTATCTCAGGAAATGTTAAGAAATAGTTGCTGCATTTTTAGCAGAAAGTTTTCTTACACGTAACCTGGTAACCTGGATGGCCGGGCACAGTGGCCTGGAATCCCAGCACTTTGGGAGGCTGAGGCGGGTAGATCACCTGAGGTCAGCAGTTTGAGACCCACCTGACCAACATGGTGAAACCTTGTCTCTACTGAAAATACAAAAATTAGCTGGGCGTGGTGGCAAGCACCTATATTCCCAGCTACTCGGGAGGCTGAGGCAGGAGAATCACTTGATCCCGGGAGGCGGACATTGCAGTGAGCTGAAATTGTGCCACTGCACTCCAGCCTGGGCAACAGAGTGAGACTCTTTCTCAAAAAAAAAAAAAAGAAGGAAAGTAACCTGGTTGCTGGAATTCACACAGCTTTAGGATTCAGTTCTGAGATGATCTATAGCACATCCATGTGATTTCAGTTTATCAGTTGCCTCCTAAGTGTCCTTTCTAGAGATTCAGTAACTGCAAAAATATCCTTAAGGTTTCTAGAGCTGAGTTTTCTGATGGGCTGCCTCATTGCCTCTCCCAGAAAATAACTCAACAGGGAGCGGGGGAACGTAACAAATTCCCTTTAGTATTTCACGGATAGTTTAAACAATAATAGGTCAAAACTTGATAGCACATACTTTGCCAGAAATACTAATTGACCACAAACTTAGGTTACAACTTAGCTCAGCGGAGGAATCCATTGAAGGGCCCAGATCCATGTAGCCCTTTGTGTTGGCGTCACCACTAGAGGAGGAGGGCTTCACTTAGGTTGCATGCTCATTCACAGATGTTTAATATTCATGAAATGATTAGGTCAGTGTTGATGTTTCTTCTGCTCCTGCTGAATCTCCACACCTGAATCCAGAATGCTCTATGATCCGAGTCTTTCTGTCTTTATAAACTATCTTTATGGAGCTTTAGGATTTTATCTCAGGAAATGTTAAGAAATGGTTGCTGCATTTTTAGCAGAAAGTTTTCTTACACGTAATCTAAAATCAGCTGCTTCATGATCAATTACACAGGTGATCTTTCTCTGAAATGTGCTTTTAAGCCTGTGAGGTTAGCATATTGCTTCTCTGTGGATGAGGTTTCCAAATTACCTAGCAGTGTCTTTGTTGGTGCTTTCTCTAATTTGAGATCCTGGGGTCCACCCAGGAACTCCACATGACCACCTTCACCAAAACACATTGTTGGTAGTGCCAGGGGAAGGTGGCATAAGCACAGAAAGCAGTTGGGTTCAGAGGAAATTTGTATCCTCAGCCTAATAGCAAGAAAATGACACCTGCTAAAATACCTGGAGGGGCAGGAGAAGATCCTGGTTAGAGAAGGGAGTACCCTAAAGAGAGGCAGCTTCCTTTCGTAACCTCATGTGAGAGTTTTATTCATCCCTAAGGCATGTGCTCCTATACTTTTAGATTCTCCTAGGAGCCTTGGTGTAGCTGTTGTCAGCTCCTGGTTTCTCATCTTTTCCCCCCTTAGAGCTTGTTCTCAGGCACAGATCTTACATGCATTACCCATGCATCCAAGTCCTCCTGGGACAGCCCTGATCGCCAGCATCTGTCCCAGTGCCTCCATAAATTATCAACACATCCTTGGTTCCCAGTATTTCTCCATCCAGACTGCATTTCTTAGACCACTTCTCAGGGATCTTCTTGTGATCAAACGTGGACCGTCTAAATACAGTCACACTACACTGGACAGGTCTGAAATCCCAAAGACCGCCGAGCTTTGTTCACCTTCAAGGAAACTCACTCCTGTCAGTGGCCTTGAGTGCACAGAGCCTCGGCTGTGAGGCTGGGTGCTGGGAGACGTCCTGAGCACACAGATGACCTGGTGCTCCTCCAGGTTATATGCCACCATGTGACCGTCAGCATCCTAGAGAAGGGGCTTTGTTGGGATTTTAAAATTTTTCCCCAAAAGCTACAGTGTAAGGGTCCTAAACCGATGGAGGAATGTAAGACTCAGCTGAAAGAGCACCCCACAGGAGCTACAGCACGGAAGCATCCAGAGTGTCCCTCTCATACACAGCGACATTGGACAGTTGGAAATAACGTTAAGCTCTACCTAGTTTGGCAATGGAATTTAGCAGCTAGAACAGATTATAATGTTTTTCCCTTTCCCTGTGACCACCTTAGCGACCGTTTACATTTAAGACTATGAGGTCTTAGAACCAAGTTCTGTAAGAATTTAGACTCCACAACTGTGTGGGGTTCATTTGTAGATTTGAAGCTATTGGAAATCCATTGCTGTTTTCCAGACACTTGGAAGTGTTTTCTGTGTAAATAGAACTAACTAACTTTGTCTAGAGAAAATAATTATCTGGGTGTACATTACTTTATTAAACTGATCAGAAAACAAATGCAAGGTATGAAATAATAATGATTTCTTGCACAAACAGCCATCAGTGGCCTATGTACATACCACGCCGGGTCTGCCTTCAGGCTGGGAAGAAAGAAAAGATGCTAAGGGGCGCACATACTATGTCAATCATAACAATCGAACCACAACTTGGACTCGACCTATCATGCAGGTACGAAGATCGTCCTCCAACTTAAAACCGCAGGCCGTAGATGCCACGGTGTCCGTGACCCACCTCCTTTCCTGATGTTTATGTGTTGCTCTCAAAGACCCATATTTGTCAAAGCTTTCTCACAAAGAAAATGCATTCCTTTCAATATAATAATAGCCTAGGGAAGAAATTTGGTTTTCAAATCAGTTTATCACTGAATACATTTTAAAAATGTGACGTGAAACATATTTTCAAAGCAAGAGCCTATTGCAGTGCGTAGCTTCTTCCCCATCCCACCCCCTTAATCCGAGGCTAGTTTTTATGCTGGGCTAGTGATTCATTTTTATCTCCCTTAAATGTGTTTCCCCATCCTTTCCCCCATCATTATGTTTAATTATTTCCTCCACGCTTTAAATAGGCCAGACCTCTTATTATTGCTGGTTGCGTTGTTGTTTGGGTTCGCGCTCCTAATCACACACACAGGGAGAGACTCCTATGAAGCTAACTTGTTTTTGCCTCCAAAATAGCTTGCAGAAGATGGTGCATCCGGATCAACCACAAACAGTAACAACCATCTAATCGAGCCTCAGATCCGCCGGCCTCGTAGCCTCAGCTCGCCAACAGTAACTTTATCTGCCCCGCTGGAGGTGAGACGGCTACCTCATCTAAATGGACTCACTCTGTCCTGTGACTCCCCATTCTTTCTTCTCTCTTAACTCTGCCTTCAGTTTCGCAGCCACCTCCTCTCTCTGATCAGTCATTGTGTTGGTGGTGAAGGGTGTTCTCGTGCGACCTTTCTACCTGCTTCTCTGTCTCGCCCAGTTAACATTCCTGGACTCTCTCACCTGATTCTCATTCTCATTTGGCTGAGGCCATGGTGACTTGTGCTGGATGTGGGCAACTCTCTTTTCAGGACTTCCACCGTTCTTGTTGTGTTTCGCTCCTTTTTTGCCTGTTACCGCATTAGAATTGCATACTCCCTCTTTCAGATTCCAAGTGCTGATATTGAGTTGTTTAACATAGCTGTTGCTTTGATCATTTTTTTTTTTTCCGACTGTAGGGCCTTTCATTATATGGGCTTATGTGTTTCTGATGCACATTGGCATCTCTGCATCATGGCTGGGCATCTGCTTGTGCTCTCTGTCGTGTTTGTGTTGTTTTGGTGCCATCCTTTAACATCACAAATGTCAGAGTTAGAGAAGCCAAATAGCAAATGTCTGAGGTCCTAAGCTTTCCTGTGTCTTAGAGACAGCTGTGGGCTTCTCCATGCCCTGGGTCAAGATGCTGATAAGTGGGAATAGATGCTTTCTCTTCCACACTCTGATATAAATGTCATGGGTAACAACTGTGAGATTCCAGATCGTTTTTATTGATGTAGGTTTTTCTTTTTTCTTTTTTTTTTCCCCCTCTAAAACTTGCCAATCTATTCTTCATTAGACTGTGAGCTCATTAAGAGCAAGGGCACGTTTCTCTCCACTCTGTAAAATCTCCATCCATAACGCTTAGTACAGAATAGTATTTTTGGTATACTGAGTGGCTACCAAAGGATGGTGGTTATATGTACTTAATATTGGTCGTGTGTTTATCCAACAGAGAAAATGTAAAGTTAGGTTGATTTAAAAGTAAATGAATGATGGAAAACAGGTTTTGGGGGATCCTCCCTCTTGTCCGTCTCCAAAGAGGAGCCTTCTGCAGTACCCTGGTACATTTTGGCACATTGAAATCGCACGTGCTAAAGAGTTCTAATGCTCATTGTTATTCTTTAGGGTGCCAAGGACTCACCCGTACGTCGGGCTGTGAAAGACACCCTTTCCAACCCACAGTCCCCACAGCCATCACCTTACAACTCCCCCAAACCACAACACAAAGTCACACAGAGCTTCTTGCCACCCGGCTGGGAAATGAGGATAGCGCCAAACGGCCGGCCCTTCTTCATTGATCATAACACAAAGACTACAACCTGGGTAAGGCTGCTCCTTTTATTTGGCTCCGTTTTCATCATCAAGCCTGGCATTACTTTATTTTGTTACTCCATGTTTGCAGTTCTTGCAGAGGAATTGGATTGACTGTAAAGGGTGTCTCTAGAGGGTCTCCTTAGCCTGCACCTGGCCCCTGCACGGATGGGCAGGTGGGAGTGGGGGGGCACAGGCTGGTACCTGTCTTTGCTATTGGTGCTGGGACCGCCTTTTCTCCTGGAAAGCTCTGGTTTAGACAGTCGGCCATACTGGGCGGAAAGGTACTGCTCTGTGCTGTTAAGATTTTGTTTTCATTTCATCCCATCTCACAAAGTGATCTCATTAGGAGTTAGAATCATTTTCAAATAATTTTTTCTTTTGTCATTTTCTTTTTGCACTTTGGGTTGGCATTACCCACCTTCTTTTGATTTGTCACTTTAGTTTTTACTGTTCACAGTATTCACACGTCTGTGCTACATTTTCATGCCTTTAATCATGGGGTAGGGGACGTACTGAGTGACTTTGGTTGTAAATCTAATAGCTCCTTTTTATGATCATTTTGTCAGAATTGATTTTTCTTACCATGCACCTCTTTCATGTGCTCCTGAATTGTATGCAAGAAAGTGTCTGTACATTGTATTATCTTGAGCAAAATGACATTAATCAAAGGTGAATAAGCATATCTTTGTATTTCTCCATCAGTTCTTTATTTCTTTAGCTCAATCAGCAGGTGGCTTTTTCAGTGTAGTATATAGTTCTTTTAAAAGTCAGTTGGTATTTTCTGCTATATAATCTCTATACATGTAATGAAACTGAAATTACTTCCCTTATTTCTGGCTATTTTTGATACTGCAGATGGTTTTTCTTCCTGTCTTGTTATATTCCCATCTAATTGTCTGGCTAGAGTTAACTCAGAGTTTAACTTGGTCCTATTATCTGTGCTGTTTGCTCAGAACCACTGTTATGGGAATGCTGGTTGAGTTTTGGTGATTGTCACTGTCCCTAGCTCTTTGGTCTTGGATCAACAGTGAACATATACCCTAAATTCCCATTTCTAGTGATGGACATTAAGTGTGTCCGTTTGCTAGATCAGGAACAAGCCCTGACCAAGGGGATTTGGGCTGTCATTTTATGCCTTGCCCATTGTGTGGTATCAGTTCAGTCCAGCAGGTCTAGAGGATGTGCTCCTAGAATCCTTTGGATTATGGGACATTGTGTCTTCAAGGGCGTTCTTGGCATTTGGGGCAGGGACATTTGTGCCTTCAGTTTCAGGCCACTTAACCTTGGCTCCTGCCGCCAGGTGCTAATGGTCACCATTACCCCCACCCCAACATAGCAACGACCAAAAATGCCCTACCCATTTCAAAACAGCCCTAAGTGCGAATCACTCAATGAGCTCTTTCCATTTTAAAGTAATAGAGTGGCCTGCCAAGATAATTTCTCATTTAGATCTGGTAACATTCATTTGGTAAACTGATAACTGCTTCTAAGGCATATAGTAACATGTAGGTTCGTTTGACTTTCCTACTGGTCTGAAAATAATGTTACAGATTTGCAGGCAAGACAAGAGGAAGAGACTGACAGCTCTTTGGAAAATATAGCCATGGAGATTGGTTTTTAATATTTTCTCTTATTACCATGGAACCCCTGACTGCCCTGCCAGTGTTCTCATTTACTATAGCACTGCTGTAATTTCGAGTCCTTAGCCAGAAATGGGCTCCAGAAATACGGGCTAATGAATATAAAAGTAGATGGATTAGTGTAAGGAGCCACTGTGGCTTGCCAACATAAGCTATGATTTTAGTAATTTCAACTAGCTTAGTAATCGAATCCCCTAACCTTTCACAGCCTTTCAACAGCAGTGTAATTGCTGTTGGGCAGATCGTATTTTAAGTTAAACAGCACTCACTTTATTTATTGCCTGCATTGTTGCTGAATGAAACCCATTTTTAATTTCCAGTTGTGCCTTTTTACCCAGATAGTTGTTATTGACTAATTTACTGATTTAAAATTATAATCTGTTAGAACAACATTTTATTGCCGCTGCCAGTATGGAAAGTCCTCAAGGTAACAACTGGAAATTCCACAAGTTACTCCTTCTTAGGCGAACTCAGATGTGCTGACACAGCTGCGTGATCACGTCTAAACAAAGGCCTAGGCAGGATTCTCCCTGCGGAAGACACACCCTAAATTGACTGTTCATTTTGACAAAAGATGGAGGGACGGAGGGAAGCGTGAAGATAATTTGCAGCTTAAAAATCTGTGAGCTGGTTTAGGGGTTTGCTTTGTTTTTTTATTTTTGAAAGAGGAAGTGAACAAATGAGAGAACAGCATAGCTATTCTTAGATTTGAATATTAGAATAGAAAAAGGAAAAACCCTGATAGGACAGGTTGAGAATGATGAAAATAGCACTCCTTCCTCCATCAGCCTGGGCAGTGTTGATTCTTACACCAACCAGAAGCCTGAAAAGGACATTTCCCCTCTGTACATTGGGAAATTTAAAAATTGTATTGAAATATGTCATAAAACATGACCTTACACACACACATATTGAAGGCAGTCTATCATCAGTCTATTTGGTTAAAGTTTGACTTCATTCTTCTTTTATTATTATTTTTGAGATGGATTCTCACTCTTGTCCAGGCTGGAGTACAACAGCACAATCTCAGCTCACTGCAACCTCTGTCTCCTAGGTTCAAGCGGTTCTCTTGCCTCAACTTCCTGAGCAGCTGGGATTACAAGTACATGCCACCACACCCAGCTAATTTTTGTACATTTTTTAGTAGAGATGGGGTTTCACCACGTTGGCCAGGCTGGTCTCAAACTCCTGACCTCAAGTGGTCCTCCTTCCTTCCTTGGCCTCCCAAAGTGCTGGGATTATAGGCGTGAGCTACTGTGACAGGCCAGGTTTAGCCTCATTCAAACAAAGATTGGCTTTGTTCCCCGCCTGGTTCAGGCCTTTCAGGGAGTGCATGTAGGAGGCCAGGGGCTTGGGACGGATGTGCCGAGGAGGGCAATCCAGCTAAGGGAGCAGCTCGGAGCATGTGTATACAGGTTGAGTATCCCTAGTTTAAAGATTCAAAATCCAAAAATCCAAAGTCTGAAACTTTGTGAGCACAAGCATGACACTCAGGCAATAAATGCTCATCAGAGCATTTCAGATTCTCAGATTAGGGATGGGGAACCAGTAAGTATAACTGCAAGTATTTTGAAATTCAAAGCCCCTCTGATCCCAAGCATTTTGAGTGAGGGATGCTCAACCCATATTAGTGTATTTATGCCTTTCACAGATGAAGCATGGGCTCATTTTTGTAGCAAGATCACACCCTAGTTAAGTTGCAGGTTCGTTTTCCATCCAAGTTCAAACTAATAAAACTCATTTTACCCTAGGCTTGGGTTGCTGGTCTCTTCTAAGATGGAAAAAATAAAGAAAAAAGACACATCTGGTTTTTTTTTATCCCTGTATTTTATATATTTTGAATTATGAAAGCCTTTTTTGAAAAGATACCGTTCTTTGCATGTTGTTTAAAAACACTTTCAGCCAGGTGCAGTGGCTCACGCCTGTAATCCCAACACTTTGGGAGGCCAAGGAGGGCAGATCACAAGGTCGGGAGATCGAGACCATCTGGCTAACATGGTGAAACCCCATCTCTACTAAAAATACAAAAATTAGCCAGGCATAGTGGCACATGCCTGTAGTCTCAGCTATTTAGGAGGCTGAGGCAGGAGAATTGCTTGAACCCAGGAGGGCGGGGGTTGCAGTGAGCCAAGATCACATCACTGCACTCCAGCCTGGGTGACAGAGCGAGACTGTCTTCAAAAAACAAAAACAAAACACTTCACTTTCAACTTGATTGAGGGAAGCAATTTTATATTACACATAAAAGAGTTCCCTTATGACACCGAAGAAAGGAAGAAACAGCCAACATACTTTATGCATTGAATCTTTTATTTTCGTATCCTCAGAGACCTCGTTAGTATTCCAGCTGCTCATCAGCCCTAAAGTTGTCCATAGCTAATAGGGAGCCGTGACTGCCATGTCACGTGCTCTGTCAATTAAGGAGAGATGCCTGCCTCCTCGAGTGGCTCAGTAGGAGTGGGGATTCAGGGGTGACCACTAGCCTTAGCCCTCAGAGCTTATTCATGGCAGCTGCTTCCATTATTTTTATTATTGTCGATATAATAAAATAACATTATAAACCTCAAGGCCTCTGGCCCTCACAGTCTGTGAAGTCTGGGTTTCCACACAAGACCACTTAGTAGACCTTTGAAATTGAGTTGGTTTTATACTTCATGCTCTGCCCCTCACTGCCCCCACCCGACACTTTTCTCTAATTTCAGCTTCTTCCTCCCCTCTTCTACCCCTTTAAATCACCAGCCTTTTACCAGTGGGGCTGATTGTCTTTCACGATAGCCTACATGTGATTCCAAGGCATGGCTGGCCTTGTGTGTGGCCTCCAGAAACCCTGCCCTCTTTCATGTAATAGCAGTCCTAGGCTCTCTGTAAACCTGGTGTGCTCATGGGCTATGTGGAAATGCAAGGATCCCCTGCTGGTTGTGACATTGCCTGGTCCAGATCAGAGTTAGCATTGAGTGGTAGTTCAGTGCTTTCACTTTTTCCTCTGTCTGTAGTTAACCAGTCACAACTGCTTACCAGTTTATCAGCTTCTTGGACCTTATCAGTCCTAAATCTGCTTAGCATATTTGTTTATATTCTGTGTATGTCAGCGTACTACAGAATGCTGTCATTGTTTTGTGCCTCTGCTTAACCTGTTAAAATATATATTGGGTTCAGGGTCAGTATTCATCACCAACTGCTAACATGATTTCTTTCTTCATTTAAAAATTTGCCTAGCTAACAAGAAGCAAAGGTCGATTTTTGTTGTTCATGGTCTTTTTTGATTCTTGTCAATTCCCAAGATCTACGATTATGATTCAGTGATACTGTGACTTAGGTGGTTGACTTGGGAAGCAGAAAAATCAGTAATTTGACAGCAGCAACAGCTCTATTATAAAATTGAATGAAGCTTGTGCCAAATGTCTTAACAGTTTACTCTTTTTAACCTTAAGCTTATTTGGTTGACAATGTGTTTTTCTGAGTTTTATCATTTATTTTCTAATCTTTCGAGTGTAAAGATTCTCCTTTTTCTTCTTTTTTTTGGAGGCAGGACTCACTGCGTCATCCAGGCTGGAGTGCAATGATGCAGTCACAGCTTGCAGGTCACTGCAGCCTTGACCTCCTGGCTCAGGTGATCCTCCCACCCCCGCTTTTCAGGTAGCTGGGGCAGGCGTGTATCACCACACTCAGCTAATTTTTTGTGTTTTTTGCCAAGAGGGTTTTGCCGTGTTGCCCAGGGTGGTCTCAAACTCCTGGGCTCAAGCAGTCCTGCCTTGGCCTCCTGAAATGCTGAGATTACAAGTGTGAGCCACTGCATCTGGCCTTACACTGCATTTTTTTTTTTTTTCTTTTTTTTTTTTTGAGATGGAGTCTCATTCTGTTGCCCCAGTCTCGAGTTCAGTGGCATGATCTTGGCTCACTGCAACCTCCATTTTCTGGGTTCAAGCAATTCTACCCCAGCCTCCCGGGCAGCTGAGACTACAGGCACACACAACCACACCTGGCTAATTTTTGTGTTTTTAGTAGGAACATAATTTTACCATGTTGGCCAGGCTGGTCTCGAGCTCCTGACCTCAAGTGATTGGCCTACTTCAGCCTCCCAAAGTGCTGGGATCACAGGAGCGAGCCACCACACCTGGCCTACACTGCATTTTAACTGGGTCTGCATAAGTGAGAGTCAGCCCCTGGGCTCTGGGTCATAACCTTTGGGCAACTTTTTGTTCTCTCTGAAACTGCATTTACTCATCTAAAGAAACAGAGACCATGTGCCCAACCTCCTAACAAGGTCTGCTGCAAGATCATACATCTGACCATGCCTTGGATATCATGAAGCCTGACCCAAGATGTCAGGCTTTTGTTGATTCTCTGTGGTATCTTATGAAGCCTATGCATTAAGGAAAAATTTTTGTAAACTTTTAAATATTAATTAGCAGAACTTGGTCAAGAATCTCACTAAAGTCATATCGTAGCTTTGTGACTTTGTCTGATGAAGGCGACTCCTGGAGTAGCCACATGACCTCACAGACCAGATTCACAGTATCTGCCAGGTTCAGGAAGGAGTAGAGGGGAACACAAGAGCCCCTTGTGTTCACAACGCACTCCCCTCACCAGGAGCTTGAGACCCATAGAGAGATTTTGAAGCCGTTGTTCCCACTCCCTCTTCCTGCTACATTCTCTGGCACCCTCCATTCTGGTTTCCCTAGTAACATCACTGCCGGGACTCTCTTCCTCTTCTCCTTCTCAAGGTCTCAGGGAAATGGTTAACCTTTCATGTAAATATTCTTACTCTCTTGTTTCCACCAATCACAAGAAGGAAGAGCACAGTCTGTGCTGAGAGACGGTCAGCCAGGCTTCCTGTGTGAAGCAGAGATGGGACCCATCTCATGCTCCAGGCATGGACAGTCTGGTTGCTTTGAAACATACACCTCAAGAGGAAAAGTACCGAGTAACGGCACATAGATACTTCCACTTAACATCTACTGCCTTTTACGTTTTTCTTGCAGGAAGATCCGCGTTTGAAATTTCCGGTGCATATGCGGTCAAAGACATCTTTAAATCCCAATGACCTCGGCCCCCTTCCTGTGAGTACGCTGGAGACACATGGAATGGTCTGAAAATGTTTGTTCAATTATCCACTCAATGTTGATGGGGAGGGCCTGTGGGCCTTCTCTTTCTCCAAGCTTCGTGGCTCTCGTTGGTTTGTGTTTCTTAATAGAATTGGGTGTTTAGCTGAATTGTGATTGTACATTATAGTTCATATGATACGCAGTACTTGTAAAAGAGGTTTCTGAATGACTAGCCTCTAGTTGAAGATAGACCTTGTACACAGGATGTTCAAGAGACATTCTCTGCAGGTGACAGTTTAAGTGGCACTCATTTATTTTGTAACTTAGCAACCACTGAGTTCCAGCCATATTGCTGATTAAGTCATCAGAACAAAAGTAATGAAAATAGTATGGGAGGAGAAGGTCTAATTAATCATAGAAAGTTTCTATAAGTCATTTAAGCTGCAGATTTTTTGTTTTTTTCTCCCTTGTTGGTGACAGTTCAGCAGGAGTTGAGCTACATACTTAAAATTGGATTTTGAATGAAACCTTCACATACATCCTCCTTGACGCCTCACTCTCAATTTTAAAAAGCCGTGGGGGATGACAGGGCAGTGGTTGGACTCCAAGGCTATTTTTAAATGGGAGTTTTTGTTGTTTTCCAAGGCTTTTTGTTGCCTGGTATATTAGGGCAACATTTTAGCATTATTCATTAGGTTATACGGGTATGCCACACCAAATCTGTTTGGTTCCTGGGTTCAAATAGAACCAGGGATTGAATTTAGAAAATGAAAGAGCATTTTTTCGGAATCTCTTGGATTCCTGAGGTTTACCTAGTAAATAGGGATAGTTCAGATAAGGAGATCATACCAGCTTTATCTTAAAAAACTTATCCAATTCTATTTAGTTCCTGAGTTTGACAAGCAAAAGTTTGTGGCAGATAATACCTGTATTATATCATCAACTACCTAGCTAACACACATACAGTAGCTGTGTCTGACATTTTTCTATTAACCCCCTCTTCCCTTCCTTTAGTACTCAGTGTTTATTTAATTCAGCGAGCTACTCAACTTCAAGCCCCACTGTTCATGGAATGCTGCAGTTAGCCTTCGAAGCTTTTGAGCTAGCAGCCTGTTTCCTGTTCTTCAGACAGTTAGCGCATCTGAGACTTGAGCATGTGATAAAGCGTGTTGCTAGACATTGTCAAGAGTTAACTGGAAGTGTTCGTATTTAGTTCATTCTCAATGCAAAAATGGACCCTAGCAGAAAAGAGTACAGAGGTGTCCTGTAGTTTTTAAATTTTGCCTTTGATTTTGGAACTCCTAGCTAATGTTTGCATTTTCTCTCTCCCTTCCTTCCCTGGATACTAGCCTGGCTGGGAAGAAAGAATTCACTTGGATGGCCGAACGTTTTATATTGATCATAGTAAGTAGGCAGTGGTATGGACACACAGGAGTTGCGGGTTCGAGGGAAGGGAGTCATTCAAACGTTATAGTGAAAGCTTTGTCATTTTACTCTTTATCTAGGCAGCCAGGTGTTATGTGGAGAAAATGATACCAGAGAATCAGTGCCTTCATACGGTACTGTGCATTCACCCCAAGTTTGCTTAAAGTAGCCCATCAAGCTTTCACCCAATCTGACCTTGTGACCTATTAACGTTTTCTTTTTTATTTTTAATTTTTAAACCACATTTTGGTTGATCCCTTGACTTTTGCACATTTAATAAATACACTCTGGTAATAGAAAATAAGATTAGAAATGATTATTTAGTCACAAATGTGTGAACAGTGCTTGAAGCAGCATGTAAGTTTTTTAAACCCTGCCTTCAAGGGTCCTTTGGCAGGATGCCCGCTCTGACCTTATTTTCTATTCATGGCATGTTTCCTTGCACCCATGACACTAATATACATGTATTTTCTGGAAATCGTAGTATATTTGCTATAGATATTTGCTCCAGCTCCTATGAATAAATGTGTGATTTCTTGTTCCAACTAAAAGTACAACTAATAAAAGTTCGCTTTTTAGCCAGTGGGATTTTTTCTTTCTCATTCTTTTTGGAGGTGACATGTTCTTCATGGAATCATATTTCCATGTCCCTTAAAGTTTCTGAAAAAGCATATTAAAAAGAAGCCTTCAAATAGATGTAGAGTTCAAACCATGCGTGCAATTTGGCAGTATCTTGGTCTTTGCTTTTATTTGGTTCATGAACAGTCTCACCAGGTTTCCCTGGCTTCACAATTTCCTAACTAGACAAAAAAACATTGATGAGCCACTTGCTGAGAAGTCTGGCTACAAGTAATCCCCCCACATACAGGACTGGTCACTATCTCATAGGCACAGCACATTTTTCAGATGCAACTTTGCGGCTGAGTACATTGTGAACAGAACTTCACATTCAGGCCCAGGGGGTTGAGGGCTTATTATAAATTGAAGTAAGCAAGAGTACCAGCAGTTTACAATTCACCTGAAAGTAGAAGTCCTAGGTATATTTAGAGGGGTGGGCTACCGTTTGTTTAAACCAGATATTTCAAGGTGCAGAGACTTCGTTTTTGTCTGTTATCAAAAAAGTGCTGATTTGCCTACTTTCCAGAATTTCATAGTAAGCATAAAGTATTTTTCCTGCCATAAATGCCTTCACATATGTGTATAGCTTACTTTTTCCTTAATATACTATTTATTTATTTATTTTACTCTTAAGACAATTTACTAAAATGAGAGAGAGATCACACCTCTTTTTCCCATGAAAAACAAAATAATAGTTTCCAGCTTGGTGCATTGGCTCACACCTGTAAATCCTAGCACTTTGGGAGGCTGAAGTGGGAGGACCACTTGAGGTCAGGAGTAGAGACCAGACTGGCCAACGTGATGAAACCCTGTCTCTACTAAAAATGCAAGTAAATATTAGCTGGGTGTGGTGGCGCGTACCTGTAATCCCAGCTACTCAGACGGCTGAGGCAGGAGAATCACTTCAACCTGGGAGGTGGTCATTGCAGTGAGACAAGGTCACACCACTGCATTCCAGCCCGGGTGGCAGAAGAGACTCTGTCTCAAAAAAAAAAAAGTTTCCTTTATACTGTGCGTCACAATTCCGGTTTTCAGACAGGCATGAATAATACTGATCATTTTACTAAAACAAGGTCTTTACTGGTAACACTCTTGGTCTGTGACACATAGAGTGCATTGCACACAATATCGTGACAGTGTTCTGGCTGGAGATCTGATGCTTAGGTCAACCTACAAAGGATGTCGTGAATGTGTTTTGGCAAGGAGCCAAAAACAGAAAAACGTGACTACAAAGCACTATCCTGGCATACATTAAAATAGTAAAAATCACCAACTATTTCACTAGTGGTGTCACAGACCTAGTATAAGATATAGCAGATGCTTGATAAATGGTGACTTGAAATCAGGGTCATGGAGGGTCAGTGGTGGAGCTCTTAGGAAATTGCTGTCTTTGATCAAAAAGTGGAGTAAACTCCCTTGAGGAGCAGCAGACATCTCCCTCCAGCTCCCCACATGCACTAGTCTGAGGCTGGCTCAATTCCAGCTTACTGGAAGGTGGAAGAGAGTGACTACCTGCTAGATGCCTGGGTTCTTCCTTACTCCTGATCAGTTGTGCAGTTACTCCAGCACTCTGCTTAAACATTTCGTCATTTCACTTGCCTGGGACAGCACCCTCAAGGCTCCTTGTGTACTCTATACAGAGCCTGATGCAACTAAGCTGTGCCAATATGATATTTGTGGCCATTAACTTGAAGATTAAAATTTCTTTTGCCTTTGCACAACCATATTGAAAGACTCTGTTAAAAAGATATAGCATAAATTAGGTGACCAAAAACCGTTTAAGGAAAGGATTTGTTTACGAGAGCCCCCTTTGCTGTTCATGCTACATTTCTGCCATTTCTCCATAATTCATCAAGGTGTACTTAATGGAAAGCTGTAGAGCAGCACACAGCAACAAAACAGTTCAAGTTGTTTGCCTTTCCACAAAATTTAGTCTGTGAGAATGGCAGAATATCTTTTGAAGAGGCTTTATCAGGCTGACGCATATATTCCAAATGGGTTGAATTGCTTGGAAGATGACATTTAAGAATGTCCTTCCCATCAGAATAAAGCCTCTTTTTCTAAGCAATTTTCTAACAAAACTCAACATCTGATTTTGCTGTCATAATGCCTGTAGGATAGCAACCAGCTTATGCCTGCATATGCCACATTGCTGTGAACGCCATAATCTTGTAAATTGCCTAGAGTCATCCTATCTTCCAGCATAGCTGGCACGTGTGGTCCACATGGAATTACAGACGAGACAATGAGATCTACTTGTCTTTGAATAATTATTTCTGCTTCCTATATTTTTCCTGAGAAGTGATAGATTTTCAAGATTAACAATACTCAGCCATCTTAAGGATTTAACTTCAAAACCAATGACTGATCAAAACTAATGTCTTTAGACTCCTTGATTCCTTTGGTTGCTGTCTGTGGAATAGCTCCTGGCTCTCAGAGGTTAAGGGGAGGTCCTGAACTGAATCTCTACATTTTGTAGGAATGATTTCATTCTTCTTAAAGACCAGGTATGCCTAGCAGCTGAGTAATTGGCCACAGGTATCCTATCTACAATATTAGAAGAGAAAATTGAATTCCAGTGACTTCATAAAGTCCTATATTAATCTTTCCTGTCAACAGTCTTACTAGACCTGTTCATCATGGCTAAATTGAGTTTCTCATCCTTCCACTTTCCTCTTGTCCTTGGATAACTGGCTACCATACTTTCATACATTGACCATACTTCGCTGCAGAATTCTTTATCATCACCATGTGGAAACTTGTGTTGTTCCAAAAGCTTGGGCTGTTTTAAAGGGTCTTTGTTTGCACCATCAGTTTCATTCAGTCATTTTTTAAAATAATGTGTTAAGTTCCTGATACCTGCTGGAACTGGTCTTAAGTGGTAGAGAGGAGGTTGCAGAGATAAATAACACACATTCCGTGTCCTCGAGGAGCTTAGGTCCAGTGCGAAGTACCGGGAGATAGTTCATGTGTTAGAAGAGTGAATCAATTGTTAACAGAAACGAAAGAGGCAAGACCTGCATCTACTTGAGGGGGTGGTTGGCCACAGGGATGGGGTCCTGCAAGAGGCCCTGAGGGAATGGGTTACTTTTCAGATGGATGACAATCACTGAGTGGGACTGAGGCAGGCAACCCCCAGGAAGAGGGGGTTGAGTGATCCTAGGAATCATGGAGAGGTGTGAATATGTGTGGATGCTGCCACATTCAGAGAAACGCAGCATTGCTCCAAACAGCTAGTGTGCCATAGGGTCCGGCATGGCGCAGAGGCCAAGCCATAGGGAATCTGCCAGGTGTGGGGACTCGGGCTTAAGCCACAGGCAGTGGGGAGCTCCCAGGGGATTTCCCAGACTGGAGGGATGGGGTCAAAATCGTTCTTTAGAGAGATCCTTTTGGCAGACCTGTAGAGGACATCTTGAACCAGGGGGATTGAGACAATTCCCAGTGAAGTCCAGAGAACAACAGTTCAGGGAAAAAAATAAAAAGCTCTCTAGCAAGAAACTTATCAGGGAGAGAGAGGGATGGTCCAGGACAATCAGAGTGAGTGACGTGGCCAGGTTCCTGGTTGGGACAGTAAGTGGATTGTGATACTGCACATTGGAAGGCAAGGTCACATTACCAGTTTTGGTGTTGGGTGATCATAAGTTTGGTTTTGGTAGAGTTGAGCTGAAGTTCTTATGGGAAACCCAGGTGCAGATGTCCAAGATGGAGCTTGAAGTTCAGGTCTGCTCTGAGGACTTGTGAATCCTCATGAGTCAGCAGTTGTTAATGTATTTTCTGCTTTGATGACAACCTCCACTGTTACGGTTATAATCCAAATTGGTGTTTTAAGGCACAGTTTTTACTCAGCTATATTCCATTTCCTTTATTTGGTTTTCTTTTCTCTTGTTTTCCATCACAATAGCAACTTTTACTTTCCAAAGTCTTCTGTGAAAGGTAAGGGACCCAAAAATGCCTTTTGCGTCCATCAAGATCTTCTCAAATAGTTGAGATTTTTCATGTAAATTTTCTGCCAGCATGAAAACAAAAGATTCTACAATCATCACCTGCTTTGGTAGCTTTTTTTTTTTTTTTTTTTTAGCTTTCCTCTGCTTTTATTAAAATAATAATAAGACTTTTTAAAATTCCTAATATGATCATTAAAACAGAATTCACTAATTATTCTTATCAACCTAATTACAGTGTAGTGTATACAGAAAATAAACAGAATCAATATTCTTTCCCCCCCCCCCCCCAGAGACAGGGTCTTACTCTGCAGATCAGGCTGGAGCATAATAGCACAATTATAGCTCACTGCAGCCTTCCCCAGGCTCAAGCGATCCTCCTGCCTCAGCCTCCTGGTTAGCTAGGACTACAGGTGTACACCACACCTGGCTAGTTTGTTTTGTTGTTGTTGTTGTTTGTTTTTTTTTTTTTGTTTTTTTACTTTTTGTGTTGCTGGGTCCTCACTATGTTTCCCAGGCTCGTCCCAAACTCCTGGCTTCAAGTGATCCTCCTGCCTTAGCCCCTCAAAGTGTTGGGATTACAGGCATGAGCCACTGCTCCTGGCCATCCTTTTCGAATAATTTTCTTCTTTTTTTTTTTTTTTTAAGTAACCTAGGTATCCAAAAACTCCAGTGAACCTACTCTCCCCCAGTCTGCCCTCCCCGTAGCCTTCATGTGAGTCCATTGCACTCTCCCTCCCTCCACCCCGTCCCAGTACACACAGGAATATATAAACTCCTTTTAATTATGCACAGTTACAAACCCCAAGTGATCTAGGGTAGCTATTGTGTATTTTCACCTACGCAAGTAATGGTATAGGTAGCATTGAACAATCTTGTTCACATTAATGCATTTGGAAGAAAGAAAACCACCTTTTGCCAGTGTGACCAAACAGAAACCATGCTCTTTAATCTTCCTCTGCTGTATCTAATTCTCTTTTTCGGACTGCCTCAGCTGCTTTGATTTTTGTGTGCATATGAGTGACGCATGTAATAGATTATTCATTTGTTCAATGCAGGATTCTTAATTGAAAGCAGTTTTTCAACACCATAAGTGAAAAGTATTTGAGATGAAAAAAAAAAAAAAATCCTGTGTGTGTTTGTTAGCCTTTTGGGAAACTAAGATTTTTTAAATGCCTTTTTTCAATGAAATGAAAATCAAGATCAAGTTATAAATCCTTGAAAGAACAGGGGTTTATAAGTCACGTTTTAGCAAGTTGTTTGCCCAAAACAGTATGAATAGATGGTTTCACTTTAGTTGTGCATTTTTGATTGTTTTTAACTAAACAGTATGTGAGGGGGTTTGCCATATAGCGCGTAGTTACCTTCTAACTCTGAAATACTAATTTGTATTTAGAACACAGGGTGGGGGATTGGATAGCTTTTGAAGAATCCAGAAACACTTCTTTCCAAAACTTTCTTTACATAGAATAGATTTGAACTAATGTCCTGATTTTTTTTTTTTAAACATTTTCAGACAGCAAAATTACTCAGTGGGAAGACCCGAGACTGCAGAACCCAGCTATCACTGGTCCGGTCAGTATTCTCAAATTCTGCCTCTTCAGCATAAGATTTTTTGTTACATATTTCCTGTGTATTACTGATAACAATGATGTCAAGGGACTGGTGTGATTGAGTAGTTCACTAGAAATTGAGTACTTTGCCCCCATCTCCCCCTTACCAAAGTTTTCGGGTGAGATACGGCTGCATGTGCCTTTTCAGATGGATTTAATTATAAAGGAAAAGAAAATAGCTTAATTATGACGGCAAAATTAAACATTTTTTCTTCTCTGTTATCAAAGGGTGGATTACAAGCATAATCAAAATTTCCTCCCTTCCCTTTAATATGGAGCAAAACCAAGCCCAGTATTCATAGAGTTTTAGCATTTCTTTAGGAGAGGAGAAGTAAACGCATGCAGTAAGTTTAAATCTTTTACAACTTTAAAAATCTGTAGAAGTGAGATTGTAGCTAACTTCAGGTGCTGGTAGAGTTAAGAATTTTAAACTCTGCTGACCCACAACGTTACCATGGTTCCCTCTTACATGCTGGTTAGAAAAAGAATCAGTTCTGATGCAGGTGTGATGACCTCTTAAAAGACTGTAGCACACTGTTCCTAAGGTGATGTGAGAACCGCACTCCCAGGGCATCAGGAGTTACTTGGTATCACACACCTGTGGATGAGTCTGTAGAATGCAACCATGCTCATCAGCAGAGAGCACACCACCAGCTTTTGTCAGTGGTTATACAAGGGCAAGGAGATAATTTGAAATTACGGGAGATGTACCATGATCAGCAGAAGGTTGCAAATTTGGGATTCTTACACTAGAGGAGCAAAAGGAACAGACGTTTGTTATATCACATGCTGAGCTAAGAGCTAAGAAGCCAGTAGGTAGATTTAAAACTCCAATTTCATGGCTTTCATCTGATTCCATTCAAATTATGTTTTGAATTATTAAGATAGGTCCATCTGAAAACTTAAAATTTTGATACTGCCTTGCAAATGTGCCCTGGTAACTGACTACCTTTAGTTATCTGTTGGATTTGTTCAGCCACCTGGGTGCTATTTCCTAGGCAAAGGGCCCAGTAATACCTGGGTAAAAACAGTCAACATTTTTCTCTATGTGGCTTAACCACTGCCTTACTCTGATGCTTCCTTTTGATTTATGTATATATTCGCAGTCACGGTTGTTAGAATATTATTTTCTCTTCTACATTATTAGAACAAGGTAAATTCAAGAAACTACTCTTTTCAAGGGACAGAAGACTTTTGACATAACTTTGAAACCTTTTCAAATATTTCTATCACTTACCAGTCACCAGCTGTCACTCCAACACTGCTAGTCCTTATTAAATCTTATTGAAAATTGCTTAGCATCGTAAAGCCAAGTAGATTTGCCCCCAAGAAAGAGCTCTCTGTTTTCTGTTAATAAAAGAGCCTTTTTTTACTCTTTTGTTATCATTATTATTCATGGTATTGCTTTCAGAAGAATCTGTATTTAGGTAATTATCAACTTAGTGTAGACATTTGGCCTTTGTTGTTATTCAGTTCTAAATATTTGGCAGTTTTCATTTGATTTTTCTCCTTGACTTATAAATTATGTAAAATATGCTTTTTAGTTTCTAGAGTATGGGAGGGTTTTGCCTATTCATTTTTATTTTTAATTTTATTGCATTATGGTCAGAGAATATTGTCTGTAGAATATTTATTATTGGGTATTTATTTAAAACTTCATTGGAAGCTTGATCATTTCTTGTAAATGTTCTTTTTTTGTTTAAAGAGAATGTGTATTGTGTCTTTGGTTGGAAATAGAGTTCTTTATGTGTCCATTAGGTCAAGCCTGTGGTGTTCAAATTATCTGCATTCTCGTTGCTGTTTTTCTATTGGATCTAATCAAGATAGTTGTGTCAGTCTCCATGGTGATTGTTGCTCGGTCAGTGTAGTCTAAGATGTATATGACTGCATTCTCTCTCTCTTCATTCGTATTTGCTTAGCATAGCTTTTCTCTCTCGTGGTATTTCGCCTTCTTTCTTGCCTTTTATTTGATTGACAGAGTGCTCTCTTTTATTTTCTCTATGTGCTTGCAGGTTGCACTTTCTATCCTTTTAGCTCTCACATTAAACTTTTTAACCAACTACTTGACTTAGGATTGAAATGAACCACTGTCTGCTCTCCTGGGTAGCATCAGGACCTCAGGGAACTGGAATGCCATTCTTCCCACTCCCACTTGCCACGTCATTGTTGGGTGGAATTTTAAAACTACCTTGTCTTTAAACTTTTCTAACAGTCAAATAGCCATTAATAGGTTATCTTTTTTTCTCCCTACCGTCCATACTGATTTAATTTTACCAAATGTAAAGAAATGTCTTTGCCCACCCCGTTGGTTCGCCCACCGTTGGTTCTTCTATCCATTTTTTTTTTTCCTGAGTTAAGTTTTGATCTTAGTGAAGTATAGTACAGTTTATGGTTCTTAGTGTGTGGTCTGCTGAGCAGAGTATCAGTATCGCCTGACAGCTAATTAGAAATGCAAGTTTTCAGATCCTACCCCAGACCTACTGAATCAGCAACTCTGGGGTTGGGACACCAGTCTTTGTTTTAAAAGCTCTCCCAGGGATGCCAACGCCCACTCAGGTTTGAGCACCTCTGCCCAGCAGCACCGGTGGTGAGAGTCTGCGAGTAGTAATGTCTCTTACTTTTTGACTCAAAAGGTCTCATGTGACCTCTCTGTTGAATATGAAGTTCAGCTGATGATAGAAATCTTGGTTAAGTTGTTTGCCTTCAGTGCTTTGGAGATACTCCTGCATGTCTTCTGGCCTCCATAAATGATGAGAACAGGTTTGCTGTCAATCTCATTGTCATTTCTGTGTAGGTAAATTGCTCTTTTTCACTGGTGACTTTGAATTTTTATTTGTGTCTTAGATGTTTTACAGTTTCACTATCATCATGTATCTATGTGTGGAGTTCTCTTCATCTATTCTGCTTTGGACTCAGGCTTCTTCAATATGGGGATTGTGTCTTTCCTCTGTTCTGGAAAATTCTCAGCTATTATTTCTTCACATATTGCATGTTTCCCATTCTCTAAGTATCTGTTTCTGTAACTCCTATTGGGCATTAGTTCTCTTTCACATTGTCTGCTTTTTCTCTTAACTTTTGTGTTTTCTGTCTCTCTCTCTCTCACTGATGTATTGTGAATGATTACTTAGCTCTTCCAGTTAATTCTTTAAGCTTTTTTTGTAATCTCTTTATCAGTTCATCTTGTTTATTATTTCAGTGACTAGGTTTAATTGCTCAAAGTTTTATTTGATCGTTCAAAATTTGCTTTTGTCTTCATGGTTATTCTGTCCTGTTCTCTTTCTCTCTTTATTTTTTGATGCTTTCATCTCTTTATTATTTTTAAGATATTTATTTCTTAGCCTCTTTCAGATTATTCTCTTATCTCTGGTCCTAGGAACATTAAATTTCCCAGTACGTCTATAGACTCTCCTTAGGAGCGTAGATTATTGCCTAGTTGAGTTTATAATTTGTGTGTGAGTATGTGTGTGTGCGCACGAGCGTGCATGCATGCAAGAGGGGGAGAGAGAGTGTGAGCAAGCTCTTTTTTTTTTTCCTATGAGGCTTTTGTAAGTCCTGACCTGTATTTACTGTTAACTTCTTAGCTTAGGTTCATGCACCCCAGTCAGTATAACTGTGGACCTCATACCCACTTTGGCACAGGCTTGGAGTATGGATTTATTACAGGTCTGTTTCTTTTTGTTTTTCTCCCATTTATGGTCCTGGACAGAAGGTAAGCTTCCTTGCAACTTCCCTGGTCCGGTGGGTAGAGTTTCCTTGTCCCATTTCCAGATGTTAGGTTTTAAACAACAACTGTTCTTTCTACGTCACGTAGACCGAAGGCAAGTTCTGTGTCCCCTTGGGAGGATTAAAACCCAAGCCCCTATGTCTAGGTCCAGTGCCCACTGACTTCTCTAATTGCGAGTCTTTCTGCTTATCTAGCACCTAGAGTTTCTCTTCCCAGGTTTTAAAAATATCAGTCCTAAGTAGGCCTAGCATTTCTACATATTTTTTAGGGAAGGGGGACCCTTTCTGTGCAGCTCAGTGTTTAGCATTCCTGTAAGTTAGTATGCTCTCTGTAATAGCATTTTATCACTAGTAATAGCATTTAGTAAGTGCTCTTCATGCATGCTGCTGTAATGAACACTGTCTCATGTTGTATAACACATATATTTTTCCAAGAACCTTATAATCAGCTGATGTGAAACTCACAGCCATCCCCTCAGGAAGGCAGGGCAAATGTTATCTCCAATTTGTCAGAAGCTCAGAAAGCTGATTCTATTGCTGACAGTCCCTGCAAGGGTCACAGTCAGGACTGGAGCCCCAGATACACTGGTGACACTGATGTCACCACGTCGGGCATGAGCCCTTCTATCCGAGGAGCTCCAGTGTCACCTGGAGAGTGATGATGTGGAAACATTTAGAACCAACTTGCACAGTAAGGCAGGCTTTCATTCTGTATCCAAAACAGGAACACAGATTTAATGCAGAGCAAAAGGGCTTTAATCAACAGGACATGTTCGTTGTTCACATGGACTCATTTTACAAGCTAAACTGGAAGCCAGAAAATGACATTCCAGGTTTTCAAGTGAGAACAAATGATTTGATCCAATTAAAAAAAAGAAATACACGTGTAATCTGTTCAGAAGCTGCGCTGTTAGGATGTTTGTCCTGGTACGTTGTGCGACACTTTTCAGGAAGAGAATATAAAAACTTGTTCTTCTTGTTCTATCATGAGAACTACCTCTAGAGAGAAAAGATAATGAGTACAGGAGGAAGACAGTGATTTTCCGGCTTCCATGCATCATTCCCCAGAAGGAGAAAGGCCTGAAATATCTCAACATTTCCACCCACGCCTCCTCAGCCCCTGCCAGGAGACAGAGCAGGCAAGGGAATGGGTATCACAGACTGGGGGCCACATGTTGAAATCTGTTCCTTGGGGAATTTGTCATTTAAGACAGTCGAACTTGCATACACAGTGATGACTGTTTAAGCTTTTTTTCCATCGTTTTCGGGAGCGGGGGAACTGTGATGTAACCATGATGTTTGGAGAACCCTCACAAATACAGGAACAAACAAAAAATAATTGCTGGGAATCACAGACTTTGAGAAATAGAAGAGCCGAGTCAGGTTTGTTCTTCCAGTCACATCGTTCCACTTCACAGTGAAGAAACTCCTTAGTAGAGAGGTTGTATTGCAAAGCCAGCTGATGAGACACTACCTCAGAGCTCAGGCCTTCCAACACTGGCAGGAGAGAACGGAAGGAGGTCACTTTTTTAGTTCCGGTCATTTTTTTCCTCATGGCACTAACACGGTTTATTCATTGATTTCTTATTACCTGTTGCTCTCAACAGCTTGTGAGCTCCAGAAAGGAACTGGGAAAACTCCCTTGCTTTATGTACTGTTATTTTTCTAGCACCCAAAATGCCTTGCACAGAGTAAGGTGCTCAAGAAGTATCGGTTGAATGATCAGCAAATGAACACCAGAAAGTGAGAAAGAAACTAGAGAGGAAATCTTAGTTGGTGATGGGAGGTAGCGTTGGTAGAGCAGAAAGGATGATATCTTTATTGGCTTATGTCAGAACATTGTATTCTTTTTCTTATTTTGGTGTTTGTCCAGGTATTAACAAATTTATGCCTTGCCTAGACTCAGAATTGCTCTGTGGTTTCATCAGACTCAATACTGCCTAAAATAAATAGGATATGAGGTCAAACCTGTCGTTCAGTGGAAAATCAAAGAAGACTGGCTTAAAAACTAAGAAAAGACCATAGGCAGTATAAATTGTCAGTATAAATGTTCCTAAGCTATATAAATATGATGTATTTATTGCTCTTGAATGACAGAGCAAAACACTGACATGCTCATTTTCTGAAAGAGTGGTTGTTTTGTTTCGGGTTAGTTTTTTATATAAACTTGTCTTAAAACTATAAAGGAGGGAAGTTCTTCTTCCTTTCTTCTCTTTCTGGTCAGGATAAGTATGGTGAAAGCGTAAGGATTGGAGTCTGGAGACAGTAGAGTAAGGATCAGTATATTTTATTAACTTAAGCCAAAATGATACCAGCAGAAGTATTCTCTGCCGAAATTCATGCTAGTGGCTAGAACGCAGTGAGTTGTTTTCAAGGCTCTCACAGTTATATCTGTGTATATGCAAAAACCAATCCTTTTTGCTTTGTAAAAATACCGTAAGCTTTTTCAATAGCCGAAAGTCAGGGCTCTGACTCTAAGATATTATGAGACACTTTACAACATAACAAATAAAGATTATTTAAATGACTACATTAAGATGTTACTCCTTTGCCTGAAGAGATATTGCAACTTTTAAATAAGTATAGTTAACTGAATTCCCGAGCCCTCAACTGTGGTACCATCACTCTGTTTCATAGATAAAGCATTTGAGATTTCAAGAAATCCTTGCCCAAGACCACAAAATATGAAGGGACAAACCTTCTCACTCCTAAATGGAGGATTTTTTGAGAATGCCATCTACCTGATTTTATATTTCTTGATAAGAATGTTAGTTCACTTCCCTTTCTGCTCATTGTATTTCCCTACAAAGATTTTTTAAATCATGATTAGACTTCAAAATGCCAGCATAGGTCATTCTGGGTTGTATGTTAAAAGTATCTAGCCAATAACTCTTAGCTAAGCCACAGCAAAAAAGAAAGAGAAACAGCCTGACTCATATTCTGACAGAAGTTACTTGGAAAGCATGTCATTTGTGTAGCATACCCCTGAGTAGCAGTGTAGCTGTTTTCAGGGGTGAAAACGCCATTCAAAGCTGATAGCCCCAATCCGTTTAGGACTTTCCCCGGTGCTGTGTAGACATTATCTAAGTTTTCCATGGATAATCTGAAAAGTGAGAATTTTCGGTTTATGATTCATGAAACTCTCTTAAATGTTGGCTCAGTATACATAAAATTTTAAGTATATTGTTTGCTTTATCTATATTTATAAATTTATCTTCCAGGCTGTTCCTTACTCCAGAGAATTTAAGCAGAAATATGACTACTTCAGGAAGAAATTAAAGAAACCTGTGAGTAATCATGCCTTCCAAAAATGCTTTCTGTTAGTCATGTGTAAGTTACCACAGTTACTTCAGTGAGAACAATTTGTTACTTTTATATGAATACTAAAAATATTACCTTCCTTTCCTCACTCACTTTGATCCTCCTGGTTCTTCAATCTGAATTTTCTTTTTAACAGAAATGGTAAGTGAAGATGAACTCAGTATTACATATCAAATCTTCTGAAGGGTAATTTGATATGTAATGCATAAAAAAACATGAATGATTTTTATGGGATATAAAATAATTCAGAACCCTAGTCACAAACTCTGGGGAAGCCTGTTCAATTATGCACAGTTATCATATTTAATAAACCTGGATCCCACTTAGAAAAAATGTTCAAATCTTTCCTTGTAAATGCAGAAGCTTAGTTTCACCTACAATATTTATAATATAAGGTTATATTTAATTATAATAATTTACAGTATTAGGTCAAAATGTAATTTTCTGCTTATAATTATCCCTGGCAGTTTAAAACAGAGAAACTCTAAAAATTTTTATAGGCAGTGTTTTAAATTACGTTACATTTTCTAGTGACACACCACCCCCAAATTGTTCAGTGTTGTGTCCTCTGTTTTACTTTCCAATTCCACTTTAGCAGTTTTCTCTTCGGTTTTCTCCACCACTGTGGTTATACCTCTGGGGAGCGGAGGGAACCTGCCGCAGCCCATACCATCTCCGGTGGCCTGGGCTCTGTCCCCATTTCTCCCTGTCTCCTCCCCTCAGCCGGTGCCTCCTGCCCGGGACACCTTCTCTGGATAGGGCACAGTCTCTGCTCTCACTTAGGGGTTTTGGTCTCTGTTCCAAAGTCCTGATTCAAGCATTTGTGGATAACTACTATTGAAATGATTCTTTGCCTTCAAAACTCAAATGAATACTGAAAATTCCATAGTGTTTCTTTGTGAGTCACGTCCCCTGGTAATGACGATGAGTTGTTGGTCATCACCCAGTCTCACTCTGTGGCTCTCACATAGCAGTGTCTTCTACTTGGAAACCATCTCTGCAGATTTAGGCTTACAATCAGACCAACCCTGGACCACCTCTCCGCAGCAGGCAGTTGCCACAACCTTGGTCAAGTGTTTTGTTATTTTCTTACTTTCTTTTTTTTGGGCGGGGAGACAGAGTCTCGCTTTGTCACCAGGCTAGAATTCAGTGACGCAATCTTGGCTCACTGCAACCTCTAACTCCTGGGTTCAAGCGGTTCTCCTGCCTCAGCTTCCCAACTAGCTGGGACTATAGGCATACACCACCACATCCCGCTAATTTTTGTATTTTTAGTAGAGACGGGGTTTCGCCATGTTGACCAGGATGGTCTCGATCTCTTGACCTCTTGATCTGCCCGCCTCAGCCTCCTAAAGTGCTGGGAGCCACCACACCTGACCTGTTTTGTTATTTTCATGTCAATGAACCATGCTTTGGGCTGCTTTCCCCACACTTGGCATGATCAGGGTGCCACTTTCCATGGCAACAAAATGGAATTGAGGCACCAATGGATTATATTTACCAACTGGAGGCCCTGCCAGAGTTGAGCATGGCCCCAACCTGGCCAGGTGGGATTATTATAGGTTTGATTACCTGGGCTAAAGACTCTTGGGTGAAACAACAGATGGAGTTCATTGTCTTTCAGTTGCCATTGACTGGAGAGTACCCAGAGTTGTTTATTAAAGGGGGCGAGGAGGATTTTCTTCTGGGCAGCAGAGTTTCTGACTCAGCCTGCGCACTACTAGTGGATGCTGCGTGTCCCATTGTGACACAGCCAGGCTTTCTGTCTGCGAGGAAAAACCTCTAAAGGAGAGAATCTCAGTTGAACCTATTTGTCACTGCCCATTTCCTTAAGGACTGCCATCTTTTCTACGCTTTGTCATTTTTATTAGAAAGCAAAGTGTGTATTTGCTGTATGATTATGTGCTTTCTTTTGTCTTTTGTGTAGGCTGATATTCCCAATAGGTTTGAAATGAAACTTCATAGAAACAACATATTTGAAGAGTCCTATCGCAGAATTATGTCTGTGAAAAGACCAGATGTCCTCAAAGCTAGACTATGGATTGAGTTTGAATCAGAGAAAGGTCTTGACTATGGGGGTGTGGCTAGAGAATGGTTCTTCTTACTGTCCAAAGAGATGTTCAACCCCTACTACGGCCTCTTTGAGTACTCTGCAACGTAAGTATATGGCCATGTACACCCAGTGTGTGTCCCCCACTGAGACAGTTGTATGAATTTAAATGGAATGAAAGAATAAGCAGTTCACATGCTTTAACTGCTGAGTTTATTTTCTCCTCACCCTATGGCCCCTTGCAAGTCTAGAACAGGTTCTGACTCTACCTGGTGAAATAATGTACTCTGTGAACATCTAATATTGATTTTTGTCTTGTCTGTTGGGTTCATGGAGTTGAAAACATGGATAATTATGGTAAGAAACAGGAGGCAATTCTCATTTGCAGTGTTCAAGAGAACTTGTCAGCATTAGAATCAAAGAAAAAGGGAGGTATTTCTTTAACAAGAGTGGTTTCCGAGGTCTCTGCATAAAGGCAAATTGTAAGGACTTTGAGGATCTAGAACCATGTCCTGCTCCTGTAAGGAAAGAACCAGGTTTCCCCTTGAGTTAGGATTTCAGCATTGCCAGGCTTGGAAAGTGAAGCAGATTAAATTGCTTTCTGAGCAATCAAATGTCGGCTACTTCTAGGTCAGCCATTCCTCCTCCAGACTCTGAATCCTCCAAGGCTTAGGCTGAACCCAGGTCCCCAGTACAATAGTCATTGACCTTGCTGAAGGGCATTTATCATCACTCCAGCCCTGGGCTCTAAGGGGACTTGGGTTTCCCTTCATCTCCCACCTGGTACCGGTCTCCTGGGGCCTCATTTGGAAGGCAGCCTTAGTACATCCTTTTCGGTTGCTCTAGCCAAGAATTGCCCTATTGGTTTGTTGTTAATTGTTACTGAGTCCTGTGAGAAGGCTCACTATGTATAACTTATCCAACTATTGAAGACGGAGGGCAGGGTAGGGAGAGACAAGATCTCTACCTCTCCTCCGCATTTTCAGGGTTACCCCCCGAAGGAATCTATCTGTGATCCCAGTTTGAAATCCACTGATCCTCATGGTTGTGAACCAAGTAAGATCATTTGGACAAATTTAAACATTTGCAGGTTTGCATTGTGGAGAGAGCCATATCCTGTTTCCAGTCCCCTTGAGGCCTTTTCAGAGCAGAGTAGTGATCAGAAGACAGACCAAGGGTTGGGTCCATAGCAAAAATCTTATGCCCAAGCCAAAAGTCTCTGGAAGGAATTAACCTTCTTTTATCACAGAGACGAGCTAAAGTACTCACATCATTGGGAATCCCTGCACAGCCTCTTTATTGTGTGGAGTTTCTTATCTCCCCAAGATATTTGGCTGAACCATATGAAATAGACACTTTTGTAGGTCAAAAACAGTCAGACATCAGCCGTGTCATATGATTTCATTGACTTTATAGTGCACATGCATCAGCCTCCAAGGTGGGTCATGGTCGAGCGTGTGGTAAGTCATGTCCTCTAGCCTGCACCTTTTCACGCTAGGCACAGAATGCTCTCAAGGACACTGTAAAAGTTGAGTGACATGTGGCAAAGAAATACATAAAATCTTGCATTTGAAAGAGTGATTGGCCTTTTCCTCTCTTTCTCGTCAAAAGGGACAATTACACCCTTCAGATCAATCCTAATTCCGGCCTTTGTAACGAAGATCATTTGTCCTACTTCACGTTCATTGGAAGAGTTGCTGGCCTGGCAGTATTTCATGGGAAACTCTTAGATGGTAAGTCTTGAAGTAATAAAAATAGCTCAGTGCTGCCGGTGGTTCCCCGGGAGGTGTCTTATCTTTCGCAACATGAGTTTTTAAGCAAAAGTTTCACTGGTTTACTCATAAAGTATTTTTGTCTTTTGCCCGTAATGGATGTGCTTTTCTCTGGTATCTTATTTTGGGCACTGAAGACATAGTGTCTACACACAGTTAAACTCAAAAGTTTTTTTAACTTCAGTGTAAAGCACAGAACATTATGTATTTATACCTTCGGATGTTTTCTGGAATAACTTTAGTGAAAGCAAGATTTGATAACAGATGGGAAAAAACTAATTGAAAAGTTAATTAAAATGATCTCATCCATCCAGTATTCTGTGATTATTGCATTTGTCCCCAAATTATTTTTTTAATTTGAAGGGATTAAATAATTTCAAAATAATGTTACAGCTCAGCTAAGGCGTTAACCCTGAAACAACACAAAATAATTTCATTCTTTTTTTTTTTTTTTTGAGACGGAGTTTCACTCATGTTACCCAGGCTGGAGTGCAATGGCGCGATCTCGGCTCACCGCAACCTCTGCCTCCTGGGTTCAGGCAATTCTCCTGCCTCAGCCTCCTGAGTAGCTGGGATTACAGGCATGCACCACCATGCCCAGCTAATTTTTTGTATTTTTAGTAGAGACGGGGTTTCACCATGTTGACCAGGATGGTCTCGATCTCTTGACCTCGTGATCCACCCGCCTCGGCCTCCCAAAGTGCTGGGATTACAGGCTTGAGCCACCACGCCCGGCCTAATTTCATTCTTATTTAGCACATATAAATCATGGAAGAATTTCAAGGTATCTTTAAGAAGTCAAACCCTCCACCTGGCAGTATCTATATGTTTATAGTAGAGACTTATAAAAGATTTGGTTATTTCAAAAGTAGTGTCCTTAAGAAAACACTACAGAAATCATGAGTGAGGAAAATGTGTTAGAAATATTTTTTAAGAGCTTGGAGGTAGAGTGGTTGAGGGTGGGAATAGGGAGAGGAGGATTTGAGATTGACATTGCAATAATTTACAGGAAAGGCATTTCCAAGGGAACTATGTTCATTGCATTTATGGAGCCTTAGCTGTTCTAATAAATACTCGGTATACACTCTGTACTTTTCCCATGAGTATGTTTTTACTGTTAATTGGTAGCTGATATTGATGCTCTGATTTTAATACTTTATTTGGTGGGAGGGAGGCAGTAAATACATTTTTTCCTCTAGAAGAAAACTAAACCACACCCTTTATGTGCAGTGTGAATATATTTTAATTTCCAGCTTTGGAGTCATGCCATAGATTATTTCAACCTGCCCAGATTCACTCCAACTTTCTCAGAAGGCTGGTTTAGTTACAGTATGCAAGTGAGAAGATGCCGTTAGTTGCTACAGCGTCTTTAATGGCCTCTATTACAGGGGGTAATAGAGATCCTGACCTCAGTCAGCTTATATTTTAGCGGGGGAAAAAGAGATGAGAACAAAACCAGAAGAATCACAGTGATAGTGTCCGAGCAGAAGGGAACACATTGAGTCCTCAGAAGAGAAAACGACTTGGCTGGAGGCTCAGGGAATCTTTCCCAGGATGAGCTACACCTTGGAGGTGGGGTAGCATTTGAGCATTCAGAGGCTGGGGTCATTTCAGATGAGTGAGGACCAGCTCAGAGTCAAGGCTCTGTGGAAGGAGACTGATGGAAGCAGGAATCACTCAGGGTCTCTAGGAGCCAGCTAGAGTGACCCCCACAAGAGTGATCACGATATAAACCTGGAATTGCACATTTAAGAGTCAGAGTGCACACAGATGGGCCTCGTCAGCAGTGTCTTCAAGTTTCCCGCAGATGGGAATGTCTCTGTCGGCAGGGCTCGTTCTGCACATCTCTCCACTGCTCCCCGGAGTCAGCTTCATGCTTTTACTTCGCCAGACGCTGCCATCTGTTGGGGCCTGTAGCTCTAGGGCCACACTGAGCCAGGGAGAGCTGGCCAGTGCTGCAGAGGGTTGGTGCCTGGTGTGGGGGTGAAGGAGTGGAAGCAGGAGCCCGAGGTCCCAGGTCTGGTGGGGTCAGGGCCCCATGTGAGGAGGTGTGTGATGTCTTTGGATCAGGTGAAATGGAGGCCCTGCGGGAGGCCTGCAGGTCGGCCTCGCTGCCGCTGCCTCCCTGAAGCTTCTGCCGTCCCTCCCTGGGAGGTTGCACAGGCCCTCTCCGTGGCCTCCCGCATTTCCAGCCTGTCCCCTTCCTGTGCTTTCTCCTCATTGCTGCCCAACCAATGATAACAAAAGGCAGATGAAATTTCACCTGGCCTTGCATTGACTCCCCACTACCCTCAGAGAGCACCCCAACTCTCCAGCACCCCATGTGGGCTGTGCACCACTGGCCCCTTCTCTGGCCTGTCCACCTACCCTGGCAAACTGCTTGCAAGTCCCCAGACTTGTTCCTCTGTTTAGTATGCCCTTTTCTTCCCCAATCCCTATGCCCGATTTGCACTGCAGACTCTGCTTGACCTTGAAGCTCATCTGTCGCCTCCCAGAAGCCTTTCTGGCCCCGCTCTGCTGCGCCCTCTCATAGCACAGCTGCCATCATGCCTCTCTCCCCCGACCTCGCCAACTCGCATGTGCTGTACCGCAGAAGGCCCTTGATTTCTCCGTCCTGGTTTCTAATTTACATTGAAAGCAGGTTCATCTTTTCTTCCATGCTCTGATACGTAGCAGTATCAAAGACCTGAAACTAAACCCAGCATGTACTGTATTTTAGGTTTCTTCATTAGACCATTTTACAAGATGATGTTGGGAAAGCAGATAACCCTGAATGACATGGAATCTGTGGTGAGTACATGCAGGTCACACGCTGGCCATCACCGGGCACTTATGCTTTATGGGAAGGTACTGGAGAGCCACATTTGTAGTCTCAGCCACGTTTGTGGGTGCTTCATTCCATGTGAACAACAGGAGACATTTAATTGCTTGAAAAGTTCATTAATCTACCTAATTCTTGTAATAAGCAAATCATTGTTCACATTTCCTGGGATCATGGTACCTAGCGTGGATACATCCAAATCCCAGTTGCCTGTGCGTACTAAATCCGAGACAGCTGAAGATCTATTGTAGCCTGAGTTTTCTATAAAAACTGCCACTACTAAGACCAGGTGCAGTGGCTCACGCCTATAATTGCAGCACTTTGGAAGGCCGAGGCAGGTGGATCACGAGGTCAGGAGTTCAAGACCATCCTGGCCAACATGGTGAAACACCATCTCTACTAAAAATACAAAAATTATCCAGCCTTGGTGCTGTGCACCTGTAGTCCCAGCTACTCAGGAGGCTGAAACAAGAGAATTGCTTGAACCCAGGAGGCCGATGCAGATGTTGCAGTGAGCCGAGAATGCGCCATTGCACCCCAGCGTTGTGACAGAGCGAGACTTTGTCTCAAAAAACAAAAAACAAAAACCTGCTACCACTGAATGTTGAGAGTTTCATCAGCTGTCCCTCTTCCTCACCTCATAAAAATGGCAGAGGCAAAGGTAAAGCAGTAGAAGAATATCACACAGACATCCTAGGCATAGATGAGCGATGCTGCCACTTAGGCACGTGAACACTTGAGACGTTCTCCAAGCAGTGATTTGGGTTTTCATGCTGCATGTAACATTAATTTTACCTAGACAGACCATTTTAGAGTTGGAAGGATTTTTTATAAAACAAAAATTGATATTCTTTTTCACTTTCCTTTTTTTACTTTTGCTTCCGTTTTTCTTTTAATATATCCATACTCCACATCTACATCCAGAGGGGATGGGCGTTTGCCCACATGCCAGCACACACACACAGGGCCACTGAGAAGCGTGTTTGTCCATTTGGGGTTTTTGCGGCTCATTTGTGTTTGCTCACGAATTAAAAAGCCCCTGCATGACTTCACCCGGCTGTGGTACCAACTATATCTTGGGCACAATTGGATAGATGAGCTGCACCCTCGGCCCTGACCAGCGCTGACTCAGTGTTTCTGCCCCTCATTGTATGAAAAGAGGAAGAGGCCATCAGTGCCCTTGAACCCCCCGCTGGTTTGTTAGTCATGGTGGGTTGGGATGCACATCCATGATTCCAGTCTCCACTGTCACCTTATATTTGTGCTTTCTGCTTTCATCGCCGTATGGTGAAGATGCTAGGAGCATAGGAATTTCTCTTAATTTTCTATCACGTGCCGACAGTTAGTGCTTAAAATACAGCGCATGTACTATTTTCCCCTCTTCCAAGCCCGTCGTGTTTCCAGCAGGAGACACCACGGTAGGACCAGGACTGTGACTGTGACAGCCGCTCTGGATTCTGAAACCAGAGCGGCCATCCTTTTTGCTGACATTAACTTGCAGAGTGATCAAAGCACAGGCAAGGGCATAACTTAAAACTATTGGTATTTACTTAAATGAAACATTATTTTACTTATTTATTTTTTTTGGAAACAGAGTCTTATTCTGTTTGCCAGGCTGGAGTGCAGTGGCACAACCATAGTTCACTGCAGCCTCCATCTCCTAGCTGAAGCTATCCTCCTGTCTCAGCCTCTCATGTAGCTAGGACTAAAGGCACACACCACCATGCCTAGCTGATTTTTAATTTTTTTTGTAGAGATGGGGTCTTGCTGTGCTGCCTAGGCTGGTCTTAAACTCCAAACCTCAAGCTCTCCTCCTGCTTAGCCACCCAGAGCCAAGGGTTACAGGATTATAGCCATGAGCCACCATGCCCAGCCTAGAACATTCTTTGTCCTTCCTAATTTCCTCAGATATTTTCACTCTATTTTAAAACTTTATTTTTTATAGAGGCAGGGTCTTACAATGTTGCCCAGGCTGGTCTCTAATTCCTGGGCTCAAATGATCCTCCCACATTGACCTCCCAAAGTGCTGGAATCACAGCCATGACGTTTTCACTCCAAAAGGATAGAAAGTATATTGACCAGCCTGGCCAACGTGGCGAAACCCAGTCTTTACTAAAAATGCAAAAATTAGCCAGGCATGGTGGCATGTGCCCTTATTCTTGGCTACTCAGGAGGCTGAGGCAGGAAAATCGCTTGGAGGAGGAGGTTGCAGTGAGCCAAGATCGCACCATTACACTCCAGCCTGAGTCACAAAAGGGAAACTCCATCTCAAAAAAAAAAAGAAAGAAAGAAAGAAAGTACACTGATCTCTGGTATGTTAAATTTTGTGGACCAGCACGGCAGGCAGCTTCATCCACATCCAGAGTAGGTCCCTTCCACTGGGTATTACTAAGGACAGGATTTAACTGCAACCCCAGTGCAACCAAAGCAGTTTGTTTATATTTTAAATTAAAGATTTGGTTTGGATGGAGCAGGAAACATTGCATTAGTAATGTAATTCTTGAGCATTCCGCACAGAATTACATTAGAACCTAATTATTTAAAGGAGTCAAATGAGCTTGTATTTTGGGGGAAAAAATGCTGAATTTCCTTCCTGTGTCATTTCTGTAGGATAGTGAATATTACAACTCTTTGAAATGGATCCTGGAGAATGACCCTACTGAGCTGGACCTCATGTTCTGTATCGATGAAGAAAACTTTGGACAGGTACGTGTGGGTAACCCTGGGAATGCTTCTTTAGCTTTCAGGGGGCATTTTCTTCTTGACAGGCTGTAACACGACTTTGCTGGACAATTAGAAAGAGCCAGCAGGAGCTGTAGGTGTTAATTATCATCCCATTGGAGCAGTACCTTCTTGGCAGGCCGGGAAACCACACTCCAATTACAACCGTTTCTCTCTTCCAGCAAAGTGACAGAAATTCCAAGAGGCCTTGAAGGCATGAACTAACACCTCTTCTAATCCAAAGCAAATGTGAATGTTTCATTTGTGCCTTGGTTTTAGAATTTAGGTACTTTAAAAAATAGTGTGATTGTTGACTTAGCATTGTAAATACACGACCAGGAGCGGGTGATGTTGGAGGGGCCTTGGTTTTTCTCTCTGTTTTATGGTTCTGTTGTCATGGCGACATTTGTCTTTGGGGCTCAGCATGGCAAGCTCAGGTTTTTCTGTCATTCCTTCTGCTTTGCCCCCACGCTGTTATTCAGGCTGGATTAATCCTCAAAGTCAATTTCAGGCTGGTCAGCAGGGATTTGGTTGGACCACTGAAAGTGGATTTCAAAGATAAAGTTGCCTGCCTTCTCATCATCCTGGGAATCTATCCAGATGTATTTGTCTCAAATCTGAAGGCTTTGCTTCATCTGCCACCCAGCCTTGGGAGGTATTCTCAAGATATTCCCTGACCCTGGTACTTGTCCTTCCACAAAAGCCTAGAAATATTTCCCACCTCTCAGACTAAATCTCCATGGCTGTGAAATAAATTAGACCATAGAACTCCTTGTAAGGGTTGCCATTGGAAAAAATGAAATAGACTTGTTTTTTTATTGCTAGATCTCAAAGATTGCTGGAGAATCTTTGCGAAGAGAAGCTGATGCCACTAGATATAAAGGATTTGATGACAACTGAGAGTACAAATTTTTTAGAAAATAATCACTTAAATATCAGAATCACTTGTTATTCCCATGTCCTGTGGTTGAGCCAGGAACCTTCAGTCACTAGTGCAAGTCCTGAAGGTGGGTGGCACTTGGAGAGTCCATGGTGCCCTTCAGTTGGCTGGGGGAGGCTCAGAGAAGGACTTCACACACCAGAGGCGAGAGACCTGGTGGCTTAATGTAATGATCAAGTCCATTACAGACCTTTTGTGCCCCCTCCACCCTGCCCCTCCCTTTTATTCCCCCTCTGTATTGTGCGTTATGCCTAAGAATCCTCACAGACAGACAGACACTGTTCTTGTGATGGGACAGGGAGAAATCTTTTCAGCTGCTGCCCCTCCAGGTCTCCAGTGGCCTCCCCAGGACCCAGAGCACTGTGTGTCACCAGTCCTGTCTGCCTCCTTTCTCTGTTGCCTTTGACACCAATGGCTCACTGCCACCAGAGGCGCCTGCAGGGCACAGTGCCTTTCCCACCGGCTCTCACCCCTCCCTGCTGGTCACCAGTCCCTGGAAGCACTAGCTCCTCTGCTGGCCCTGTGGATGCAGGTGTCACTCTGCCAGCTCTCCTCCACCCGCTGCTTTTCTGTCTCGCCCATGCTATCTAGATGTCCTCATCCTTCCCATGGCTCCAGCCGCATCTGTCTCTGCTCACCACCAGCCTCTTATTTCAAGTCCACGTCTGCCTTCCGGCCTCCAGCCTTCCCAGGTTTGACCGCCTCCTGAACTGCTTCTCCTGAAAGGCTCACAGGTCCCAGTGCCAAAGCCACTTCTTCCTCCCCAGCCTCCACATCGGTTATGGTCTCATCAGTGTCACCACCCTCCCTTCCCACCTGACACTTGGACATCACTTCAGAATCTCCCTGTCTCCTCATGCAATCTCCCCGTGCCCCAGGGTGGCTGTGTGCTGTGACTCCCCCTCCTTGGCACGTCCCTGTCTCTGCACTGCCCTGGCCCATGCCCCGATCACTTCTTGACTGTACTGCCCTCACAGCCTCCTGTTGGCCACCCTCTTTCCTATTTTGCCACTGTCTACCCTGTTCTCCAGTGCCCCCTAGCTGTGTGCCCCTTATAGAATATTTCTGAAATGCAGCCCTGAAAATGTCATTCTGCTTGGCCATCTCATGACCTTCAGCATAAATGAAAACTTGTTAGCATGGCATATGACCCCTCATGATCCAGACCTGCTCACCCCTGGCATTGCCCTCTGACACCTCCTTCCTGTCACCCTCTCAACAAACCATGTGGCTTTAACAGTGTCCCCAGAGATGCCTCGGTGCCACATTGCTGGCTTTACAGTGCCCAATCTGCACCGACGCATTCTCATTCTCTCTCCCGACGCATTCTCCTTTTCTCTCCCATCACCTCTTTCCCTGCCGTTCTCGAGGTACTGGCTGACTTGTGGGCAGTAAGTCCCCTGAGGTCTTCTGGGTCTTTCCAGTGCTCAGCATGCAGTTGATGCCTGCTAAGTGCTTATTGAGCAAATGAATGAGGAGTGATAACCTGGCTTATTAAAAATGTTACTAAGGTTGTAGGTAATAGAAATCCTAAGTATGAGGAAACAAGATCAGTTGAATCGTAGTGGCTTTTCTTTTTAAAAAGCTGGACCTATGGAAGGGTCTTAAACTGCCAATTTTCAAACAATTAGACACAGTCACCCTGGAAGTATCTTCCTTTCTTTTTTAACATATGAAGGAAGGAGTGGAAGTCAAGAACCAAGGAAGACTTAAAATCAGTCTTGTGTGTCAAATGCATTTAAAAAGTCTTTTTGTGGATCCACTCGTAGAAAACTGTATGGCCAAATTAACCCAACAGAAAACCATTAGCAATGCCACAGTCAGAAGCAAATGATCTGGGAAACCTTCCTAAATTGTAACTGTTTCCACCTCATAAATGAAAATTAAACACAGGATGTTGGGGTTTTTAAGCAGGCTTCTAATAAAGATTCTAATGGTCGTTTAGGCCAGATCTTCCTTAAAAACAGTTCTCAGGCTGGGCATGGTGGCTCACACCTGTAATCCCAGCACTTTGGGATGCCAAGGCAGGCAGATAGATCACGAGGTCAAGAGATCGAGACCATCCTGGCCAACATGGTGAAACCCCGTCCCTAGTAAAAATACAAAAATTAGCTGGGCGTGGTGATACACGCCTGTAGTCCCAGCTGAGGCAGGAGAATCGTTTGAACCCTGGAGGCAAAGGTTGCAGTGAGCAAAGATCACGCCACTGCACTCCAGCCTGGTGAAAGAGCGAGACTCCATCTCAAAAAACAAAGAAATTCTCAGACTGCCTTGTTTAATGTTGTGAATTTTGACCTTTGTAGAATCAGGTAGAGTAATACAGTAATCAAAACAGACCCATTAGATGAGTAAGATAAAAATTAGATGCCCAGTTTGTTAAATCAACTGCCTTTCCTTTTTAAGAGAGCTAGCCTGATTAATGGGGAACTAATGTATTTATTTTGCACTCTGGGAAGGAATTGAGAGCGAGTTAGTCAGCCATGTATGGATCTGACCTCCCACATCAGGCGCATCTGCAAGCCTTGTTCACACATCTCCCAAACCTTTCTCAATTCTGTGCGTTTTCCCGATCTCTAGCTCACACCCAAGTCTGAGCTCCTGTCCTCCCCCTAGACTCCTGGCTGGTCTCTGTACATCCAATTTGGCTTCCTGTAATGGCACAGTGGTCTTTTTGGAATATAAAAATGCATATGTCATTTCTCTGCCAGAAACCTTCAGGGATTTCCCCCTGCCCTCGAGAGAAAGACCCCAATCTTACTTTGTGCCACGAGGTCCTGTGTGGCCTGGCTCTGCCTGCTCCTCCCCCAGACTCGTGACTCACAGGCCCTGGCCCTCTGCTTTCTCTTCCCTCTGTTGAGAGCACACGCCCTCCCACTCTCAGTTCAGATGTCCCTTTGTCCCTTCGTCAGGGAAGCCAGCCCTTGACCCAGACCCTGTGTATCTTCCATGGCATGAACCACAGAGACTTTGCATTTGTTTGTCTGAGTACATTTGTCAGGACGTTTGTCAGCAGCGTCTGTCTCTCCCACGCAGCGTCCTCCTGGTGATGGCGGCCACATGCCTGTCTCTTGCTCACTCGCTGTTGTGTACTTCCCACCAGCACATTGCCTGGTGCTTGGTGGGTACTTGAAGTATAGTTGTTGATGTGGAAATCCAAGCATTAGCGTGATGCCCATGCAGGCCCCTCGGCTCGCTGGCCCTCTGCAAAATGGTTGACTCTGACCCAGAAGGAAGCCCATTCCTCCCCATTGCCAACAGTCAAGTCACTTTCTCAGTGGGGCAAAGTGAGTGCAGTTGCCATGGGGTGAAAGACATGCAGTCAACCTTCCACGGTGTTTCAAGCTTCTTTCAAATTTCACAGTTAGAAATATCAGACCATGAAGTTTCGTAGCTGTTGCTTCGTGTAATGAAACTGCAGCTGTTGCCATTATTTTGCAATTTGTTTTCTTTCTGATTGGTAAGAATCTGGAGCTGCTGGTTTCTAGGGCCTAATATGAAGGTTTCCACTGAAAAAATGTCAGCATTTGAACTATGATCCTGTGCCAAGCAGGAAGAATAAACCATACCCCCATTCACTGCTGTGTACACTTACCCGCTCCCACCAGGACGAGGGGCCCTTTTAGAGGTATAACATATAAAAATTCTTTATTGCAAGTTCAGCAGAGCAACGTCTGATTTGGTTGTAGGTTTTTTTGGTTTGTTCGTTTTCTGAAACAGTCTTGCTCTGTCATCCAGGCTGGAGTGCAATGGCACGATCTCAGCTCACTACAACCTCTGCCTCCCGGGTTCAAGCGATTCTCGTGCCTCAGCCTCCTGAGTAGCTCGGATTACAGGCACATGCCACCATGCCCGGTTAATTTTTGTATCTTTAATAGAGACAGAGTTTCACCGTGTTGGTCAGGCTGGTCTCAAACTCCTAACCTCAGGTGATCTGCCCGCCTCAGCCACCCGAAGTGCTGGGCTTACAGGTGTGAGCCACTGTGCCTGGCCTGATTTGGTTGTTTTGAAGAGGTGGCAGAGTTTTTGAGGGGCTGTGCAGTAGTAGGGGGAGGAGAGCATGGGCAGCAGCCATATAGGAAGGTTCTTCAGGATCAGGTCTGGGTCAGCTTGAGCCAGTGTCCATGGGAACAATCGCCCGAATGAGGCAAAAATGGATTCTTGGAGGAGGAGATCATCTCAGACGTTAAAGTCGTTTGTGGCCCTCCCAAAAGCCACAGCACATACCACCGGTGTACTAGGAATCTCTCTGTTAAGACTTCACAGAGGAAGGTGGGCCATTGGCAGAAAGAATCTAAAAAGGCTCCTTAGGGGGTGATAATGAATTAAAAGGTTGGAAAACACTTGGGGGAAGGCAGTGGGTGAAAAGGCAGAAACAGTCAGTGTGAGGGAGAAAGGTGACAGCAGACTGCATCCTGGCCGGAGCAGGAAGGAGCCAGGCCAAGAGCCCAGAACTGGAGGTGGCTCCCAGGAGGTTGGAGGCCCCGGCCCCTCCAAGCCAGTCAGGGACATACAGGGTTGGCGCCTAGGGAGACGACAAGTCAGAAGGCTGGCATGGACTCGCTGCCTCCGGGCTACCGGTAGTTGCACTGATGTCTGCTGAAGAGGCTGGCTAGGTGGAGTGATGGGGGTGTAGGGCGCCGACTGCCCCCGAGGCCATGCCTGCAGGATCTGTGAGCACCATCAGTGGGTATTTGCCCAGCAGTGCTTGGTGTCCAAGAATGGAGTCTGCCAAGTGGACAAGCCTTGCTCCACCCGAGTCCAGTATATATCCAACCTGTTTCTCAGTAGCCTCCCAGGCAGTGCAGAGCATCTGTGGAGAGTCAGAGAGATGTGTGGGAATCGGGTTGTTAACTGGCCAAGGCGGGGAGTCCTCCAGAGGTTCCTCTGATCTCTGCAAGGAAGAGAGCCAAGTTTCTGCGGGGCCAGGAGATGTAAAGAGAGGAATTTTCTGCTGCAGTTTTTCCCCACAAGCGCTTGCTGAGCACCTGCTATGGCTGGGCCCTGCGTTCCTTGTGTGAGGTCCTCCAGGAGTCCAGGCACAGGCGGGCGATGCCCCAGAAAGCCCAGAGGGAGGACTGTGCATTTCGTGGCTGAAGGTGGCAAGAATCCACGCCACAGAGGAGCTGCTGCAGACTGCTCGCCAGGGAGCAGGGCCCCTGGGTTCCAGCACCAGCTCCATCTGCGGTTCGCTGTTTCTCCTTGGTCACCTTGCAGGGTCTCTGCCTCCTCTGGGATGCTGGCCACCCTCATGTGGGGCCAGGGCACTGCCACAGCACCTGTGGGAGATGTGTGCGGTGGAGAGCGGCCCCGGTACGATGCTGCCTCAACTTCTCCCACTTAGGGCTGACAGCTCCATGTCGCGGTGCCACCCGGCGCTCCGTGCTGAAGACATGCAGTCCCTCCCCTCCTTTGGTGGCAACGGCTGACGTTAAGAAGGCACAAATTTGGGGGAAAGGAGAACACAGGCTGTGTTAGAGCAATGGACAGGCAGGAATGGAGGCCTGCAGGGGTAAGAGTCAGATAGCTGCTTCTCCAACCCCCGTGGAGCCTCATGCCCAACCAGCAAGGACTCAGGGGCACCAGCTGGTGGCAGTAAGGCAGTGTGGCGGGCTGGACACCACACCTGCACCACAGGAGACGGTCTCACCCTCAGCCCCCAACAGCAACCTTGGACGTGGAATTCGAAGAGTGATCATTGCTTTTCATGAAAATGTCGCCTGTAACAAACCCAAGAGGGATGCATTTCTGTACCACTGAGGGCTTGAGCCTGGAAGCATCGGGATCTGGGGGCTTGACCCCTAACCCAGTGGCTTCGGGAGCAGAACTGCAAACCCCCCTCCTCCTGTGTCCGTCCTGGGGCCCTCCCCTCACTCCCCCACAGAGGAACGCAGGGTCAAAATCAACCATGAGACTGGACGGCTGCCCACAGGACGATTTACTGCTGTGACCTCATTATTTAGCCTGGGTACAATGGGCCCATTTTTCTTTTCTTTCAAAAATTATTAGTTTATCTATAAAATATTAACCTTCATAATAAAAATAAAGCCAGTTTAATAAAAATATGTAAAATAAATAAATGTCACTTATTCCCAGTATCCCAAGATTAAAATTTTTAGATATGTCTTCCAGAATTATTCTTCGTAAGCACAAACACAGATTTTTTTTTTTTTTTACAGAAGTGGAATTGTACTCTGCATACCATTTTCAAATTAATATATCACGCATACCTTTTCATGTCAGTAAAATCAGTCTATAACATTCTGATGGCTGTGCTGAATTTTATTTTGTAGATATGCCATATATTTTTAACCACACCCCCTGTTGGTAGACGTTTAGGCTATTTCAGTATTTGCTATATAAACATATAATTCTGTATAACCCTGGAATACTCACATATATATATATGTATTATAATGTGAGTATTCTATATATAGGAAAAAATAAATGTATAATCTGGAATATACATTTTCTGTACTTGACTATTTTCCCTTGGTATAAACTCCAAAACAGAAATTGTTGTGGGAAGGGGTATGTACTTTTAAAATTATGATGCCTATTGCCAAATTCTAATACCTTTGGGAAAAGATTGAACCAATTAGACTTCCTGTCACAGTGAAAGAGAGAACCAGTTCTCTGCACTTGGCGACACTGATTTATTTCTCTTTCATCCCTGGGTGCTGCTTTTGGAGGAAGCAGAGTGTTTTCCTCCTTAGCCCTCCCCTCCCCACCTTGTCTGTGGCAGACCCGCTCATTCAGTAGCACTCTGGAAATTACAACTTTCAGGCAACACCAAGGAAGGCGCTCTGATCAAAGAAAGAGGGACGGATGAGTGCTGGAAGGAGTGTATTACAGGGATTATGGATACTTATCCACTTCACCTCCTTCCCTTTCCCTGTTGCGGGGGAAAGGGCTGGAGGAAAGATTTGGCCTTAGCGTAGCCGAGCTGTACCAAAAGCCTTCTCAATACCAACGCCTGAACTGGGTAACTTGTCATTGATGTGAATCTGATAAGAAAACTCTTACTAAAGGAACAAGGCAGTCTGGGTAGGCATAAATGGGGAAAAAAAGAAAAAGCAACCAGGGTTTATTAACACATAGAGCAAAAGATACGAATGAGCACTGTCCATGCACCTCTGAAAACCAGCCACGAACTGGCAGTGTTTCACTGTAGAAATATCCCCACCTCACCCTCAAGTGGAAACTTGCGCATCCTCCATCCCCGACACAGCCTGTACGGGGCAGAGGCGGATGACCCCTGGGAGAAAATGGGATGCGCTGGGACGGCAGCTGGAAAGGGAAATGGAGAGGTGAAGGATGTCAGCAAAACCAGAAACACAGGATTAAAAGTCACACTGGGCACAGTGAAGAGTTGAATTGACTTTGCAGAAATGGAAAGCATGGTGGAAAAATAAGATCCCTTCCTGAATAAAGAGAAAAAGAGAATGTAGTGGGACTGGATGGATGGTCAATATGTTTTATGTTGAAAAGCCATCTCAGTGTGAATGGGAACAAGAGCTAGTGTGTAGAGAAACTTCATGAGAGACACAGATGCAACTGCTCGGGTCGGAGGGCTCAGGATCTCCTGAGTGCAGGTGGCAGGACCAGGGAACCCCTGGAGGTGGCCCTGCCGGAGCACAGAGTTTATCACAACGTGGAACCTCCATCCCTCCTGGAGACACGCTAACACTTACTCTGGAAAACTCTCTTCCCTGGCGTGGTTTACCCTATAATGCAACCAGCGGGCAGAGGGAGCCCTATGAAAATAGTGATGTAGTTTGCTTTCAGTAGGAGAGTTGTAGGTGATAACTTTTTCTACCTTTTTTTCCCCACAATTTCTAAAATGAGAAAAATACATTTTATTTTAAAATAGGTCTCCCTCCCTTCCCTCACGCTGGTTCCTGCTATATATGGCATCATGGTCAGCTAGGTCTGGGTCAGGGCACAGGAGAAAGTGCTGCCCTGATTGCAGCTGCTTTATTCATGATCATGGGTGGCGCTAAGGAAGGAAGCTTCAGGGCAGATAAGCAAGGAGAAGGCGTCCGATGCAAATAAAGTCTTCAAAAACCAGATAAAGCTGCCTCTTCAGCCTGGATCCTTAAGCTTCTTTCTTGTCTTTAAGTTTCTGTGTGCAGTTTCTGAAAGAAATACCATGCATCCTTTTTTATGACTATAAAATGTAATTTTCAGACACAGAACGCATTAGAATTTGGATCTCTGGAGTCTTGATGGGTGTACCCTGTTTTCTGTTAAGCATAATTAGTTTCCTGAAAAATGAATAGCAGATGAAAAAATGTTGCTCTTCATTATTGCTAATATATGAAGAATAATTAAAAGTCGTAAATAACCATAAAATAGTTTGCCTTTAATGATAACATCTTTAACTGTGTAACATTTTAGCAATTTAAAAGCCTCATTGGACATTCTCTTGTGCACAGAGCCCATTTGCTGGGAAATATTTCTGAATACATGTTGTCTTCCCTTTATAGTGAGACATTGTTACTCAATAATAATCTGCAAGATAACTTCGCAATGGTAATTGTTGTTTTATCTTTGTAATTACAGACATATCAAGTGGATTTGAAACCCAATGGGTCAGAAATAATGGTCACAAATGAAAACAAAAGAGAATATATTGAGTACGTATACACATATTTACAGTCTTTTCTTTGAATAAATTGAACAGCATGTTTGGTTACTGTCCCTTGCTGAAACAGCTCATGCATTTATTATGGGCATGAGTTTATTGGTCAGCTTTCAACAATATGAATTGTTTTTTGGCTTGGGTTAATGGGAAGTTGAACGTGGGATGGGAAGTCTGACTTACATCCTGACTCCAGTGAGCTGCACTATAAAGGAGCAGCGGAGGGAGAAAAGCTCTGCATTAGTGAGTAATACGGCAAATACTCTTTTGGAATATGTGGATATCAACTAAGATTTAGAATTGCAACAGTGGACCACGGTGTCCAGTGGGGCAAAATTAGGAATCAACAAAGATAAAATATTTTGTCTCCCTCCCAACTTCATTTGCATCATAGAAATGTATAAAAACAGTTAAAATGGATAGGAAGAATTCAGCATGTGCAACCCTAATGAATTGTATCTGATATTTGTAGTATTCTTAATCTCAGCCTCTGTTGGTGGAGCAAAGCGTTGAGTCCTTTTGGAAGCCTGGCTGTTGAGTGATTCTAAGACATCTGTGACAGGCAGAAGTTTTTTCTCTGTTGGGCACATTACGTTTTCTTCTCTAATGTATACGTGTGCTTCACACGCATCATTCGGGGATCTTCCAGGGAAATCCCCTGGTGCAGGGGTGAGGCGAGCACTGCAGTGTGCCATTCCTGGCACCTGGTTTCATCTCTCATGGGTTTCTGCAGTGGCCTGAGTTCCTCATTTGCATTCAGTGCTCCGTTTCTACAGGCTGGGCTCCCTCCTTTCTTCTCATTTGAAATCGGTCAGAGATCTTGAATTCAGGCAGCTCTTGAATTGACTGTGGGTCTTAGCATCTTTCAGTGTGACCTGTGAAGAAAACACCTGCTGTCCTTCCTAATCAGGAAGAAATGGAGCATGTTGGAGTGTTTAATCGGAGGTCCCGGCAAAGAGTGGAACTGTTACGTGGCAGACTTTTTTCCTCTCTCAAGTCACAAGCTTTTTAGGCTGAATACATAGTCTAGAAATAAGATCCATCAGTTCTTACCTGGCTACATTACTGTAATTGGCACGCTTGTTCTGAATCTGAACAATCTTAGCTGATGACACCCCCGCAGACACCATTGTCTTCCTTCAGGAAGTAGAGACTGTGAGTGGGGTTTAAAAAATATTCTAGCCCAAGGTAACCCAGGTCTCCAGTCTGAGGACTCTGGCGTGTGTGATGTGTGTTATGCACCATTCTTTGCAGTTAGTTCTTTGAGGATTCAAATGTGGAGGGAGTCAGGGCCAGGCAGGGTTCCAGCTAGCTTTACTTTTAAAAGTATGATCAAAATCACCAGCTGCTCCCTGATACTCTGCTCCCCTGGTACCAGAAGAATGCTGTTGGGCTGATCATTATAGCCCAGGCGATACAGCCTGAGATGGCTGCGCAGTGGTTGTGCCGCAGGCACCTGGTCTTCAGGGCCGTCACCATGGTTACAGTGGTACCACCCCAAAGGTGAGAGCCCTTCGTAATGATAGAACTCCTCAGATGACATCCATAGGAGATTCGCCTTGTGATAAATTATGCTGTGTGTTAAACACTGTCACAGGGAACTTGGTTTTGGTGAACATGAGTTACATGAGGTCTTACCATTCATCCTCTGAATTTGGGCATTAAATTATGAGTGCAAATCATTTTGCTGATGAAGCTTGTATGTCACTGTTGAATATTAGTACATTGGATATTAGAATGAAATATTAGAAAACTAAATGCATTGTCCTGAGTGTTCTTTACAAATACATATACATACTTATCTGTGAGTGTGTATACGTGTGTGTGCATATTATACACACATCCCTGTGTGTTCATACCTCATGAACTTTTTTCCCTTTTCTCCATGGAATCACATTTTAAAGCAGTTTAGGCCAGCCAAACCTTGATGGGGGGTAAGTTAATTACCCTTTTGAAATCTCCAGTGAGATTTTGTTTTTCATGGCTGTTGCAGGGAGTCTTAAAAGAAGCCGTAAATAAACTAAACAGTGGAGGCACAGTGTAGATCCCCACTTCTGCTCTGCTTCATAGATGGAGGAGAAGCACTCCCAGTTGCAGAGAAAGCAGAGCGCTAGTGATGAGGAAGGTGGTTCAGTATTGTCCTCTTTTCTCCTGCAGTTTAGTCATCCAGTGGAGATTTGTGAACAGGGTCCAGAAGCAGATGAACGCCTTCTTGGAGGTAAGCCATGCTGGCCAGGGTTCTTTGCCATGTGCCTCTGGTCCCGGGTTGTGGGAGGATTGTGCTCCTCCTTTTGCTGGTGTGGTGGAACTGATCATGCACTGAGAGACAGGGCAAGACTGGGGACGCCACGGGAAGGCCAGGATCACACAGCTCACGCTGCCGGCCAGTCTCCAGCATGAGTGTGTTCAGCCCCCACACCCCATCTTTTTTTCTTTTCATGCATTCTCCTGCTTGGCTTCTCTTATTTTTATATTTGTCCTGTTTTTAAAGAGGATGTTTTACAGATCTGATCTATAACCATTGTCTTGAAGTTTCAGACAGACCCAAGAGAAGGCTGTCTTTTGCAGCAGTGACAGATTCCAAGAAGCCCGAGGGCTCAGAGCTGAATGGATAAAGCACAGTCCCTGCAGTGCCCTGCCACCCCTCCCTGGATCACTGCTACCTGGGCCTTTTTTTTTTTTTTTTGAGACAAAGTCTCACTTTTGTTGCCCAGGCTGGAGTGCAGTGGTGCAATCCTGGCTCACTGCAGCCTCCGCCTCCTGGGTTCAAGCAGTTCTTCCAAGTAGCTGGGATTACAGGTGTGTACCGCCACACCAGGCCAATTTTTGTATTTTTAGTAGAGACAGGGTTTTATTATGTTGGCCAGGATGGTCTTGATCTCCTGACCTCATGATCCACCCACCTTGACCTCCCAGAGTGCTGGGATTACAGGCATGAGCCACCATGCCTGGCCCTGGGCATTTTTTTTTTTAATACCCTGCCCATTTTCTTTCTGGCTATGTTAATAATTCCTTGCAGATTCTCTTCTGTACAGGTACATGGAAAACATATTCTCTTAAGCTGAGTGTTTATTTTATACCCAGCCACCTCATGACAGCTTTTACCCTGTTAGAGAGCAAAGCAGGCACTGCCCAGATCCAACTTTTAATATCAGGGATGCTCCCAGATCCCTAGCAGAGGGTGAGGGATGCATCGTTTTAAACAGTATTCCACTTTGACCAAAAATGAAATTCTTTCTTGAATCTGACAGTATCAGTTGCCTAAAAGATCACACAGGAAACAGCGTTGTGTCCACCTGACTGATTTTCTCTGCACTGAGGCAGAGCTCTCGCGGGGTGATGCCTCCCCTTCACTCAGGCACCTACGCAGGATGAGTGAGCCCCAGGCAGGACACTCAGAAACACCTCGGGGCCTTAGGGACTTAAAATGGGAGGACAGAATGGCAGGTTTCATCCTTCATTTAGATAAGAAAGCCCAGGAAGCAGATTCTTGGACCCTACTGCAGGAGGTCCACACCTTCAGAAACACGGCTTTCGCCATGCACAGGGCCCAGCAGAGCCAGGCTTGTCCTGGATCACACCCTAGTTAGTGGTATGCTGGGAACCGGAGCATGGTTTTTGTACACACAGTCTCTTCTGCACCTATCACCTGCCTCCCTCTGCGTTTCTTCTCCATGCCTCCAGCACATTATTTTTAAGCGTGTCTCTTACACATCTGTGGCCTGTGCATTTTAGGACGCACTGACTCACAGCAATGTTATAAGTGGCTATTGGAATCCACCTGCCTGCAGCATCCGGTATTTTCATCAGGTTTCAAAAATGACTCCACTACTTGAATCTTCTAGATTGTATTATTTTTTTCGGAACTTTCATATTGTGGCTGCGCTGTTTTTACTGGAACTGTAGTTACTCCGTACTGTCACTGACGTAGGAATCATAAGGTGTCATTGTGTTTTTTACTGGCTAACCAGAAAAGCTTGTTTTTCCTGTGAAATTTGTCCCCCCCCTCCGCAAGGCAATAGGTATTTAAGATTTATTTTGTTTTTTGTTTTTTTTTTCAGGGATTTACAGAACTGCTTCCTATTGATTTGATTAAAATTTTTGATGAAAATGAGCTGGAGGTTTGTATTATAAACATTATATTATGTAAAGTGGATTTTTTTTAAAGTATCTCTCATTACTTTACAAGTAATATTTTAATATTCTTGGATGCATAATGTCCTAAAGAGTAAGTTTAGATGAATCCTGTTACATAGAATTGTTATGGGGTTTGTTTGCCAACGTGTGCGTAAGGAACAGCAAAAATAATCAACTGTAGTTGCCTTGCCCATGAGAGGGCAGATCTGGAACATGCCTAGTAAGTAGAGGCCGCTGAGCAGAGCTGGGTTCGTGGCCCTGTGCACCAGGCGAGGCAGATCACCACGACACGTAGAAACAAGGTTTGCAGCAGCCCTTTGGGACAGCAGCAACCTGCTGGCACTACCAGACTGGCCAAGTATCCTCTGCTTCAGCCCCATCCCCCCGCACCATGGCAGCCAGATGGGGGTCTTGGCCAGAAGGTGGCTGTAAGCATTCGCTCAGGGCCATAGAACAGACATCTCATTGAACTTGAAATGGTTTATGTTGAACGAGGAAAAACATCAGAAGGCAACAAGCTAGCAGCAAAAGGTAGTCTAATTCAACTTCATGATGTCGACATAGATGAGCAATGGCCATTTTAAAGACAAAGGACTATCTCACCCTTTTTTGTGTCAGGAGAAGCAGGAGAAGGGAGGCTGTGTCTGTTGAGACACGGTTGGTGGGACACGGCGTGTGTCGCATCCGCATCAGTGAGCGTTTCCCATAGATTGGCTTCCTATACTTTCATCTCAAAATGGAAAGTTCAAGATCAATATGTCTGTAGAAATTATATACCACAAGCCTGTCCTCTTATAGGTGGGAAACTGAGGCAGAGAGCAGCTGGGTTTTCCCAGCAAGGTTTTGGTACAGTCAAGCCTAGCAACTTTGTTTGCAGACTCTGGCTTAGTTCTCTTTCCATTTCATTCTGGTACCTCTGCAGGAATATCTTCCATTCATTCACAAGAAGCCCCCCCGATGGAGAGTTGCATAGTAAGAACAGCAAACCTTAGACTAAATGCTAAATCGACCCAGTTATGCCTTAGTATATGTCTGCAGATCTTAGGCCTCTGGACAGATGAGGTGATTTGTCATCATCAGAATTGACCGACCTGGCGGAGAGACGTTCTTGTTGTCATAAGCACTAATTCTTCTGTGGGTAGGGAGATAACTTTCAGATATTCGGAGGAATAACCTCCCAGGAAGAAACGCAGCCAGGGTAGTGCACAGATGCTACTGGAACTTGAGAAAATCCACAGGTCCCAAGCGTGAGACTCGAGGGTAGGGAGGACAACTGTGGCGTTTCTATTTCCGATATGACATGCTGTGGCCTTGTGCAGGGTTAGAACTGAGCTGCCCTCGTGACTGTGCTGCCTCTGTGATCTGCCGTGGCAGGTGGAGTCTGGGACAGGTGTCTGCCTTCCTCTGTGGTTACGATTTGGTAGCTTACCTTCACGGCATGGTGACCAAATGCTGGCACTGAGGACGGTCGTTTCTCAGTGTTACCTTCATGGCACGGTGACCAAATGCTGGCACTGAGGACGGTCATTTCTCAGTGTTACCTTCACGGCACAGTGACCAAATGCTGGCACTGAGGACGGTCCTTTCTCAGTGTGTGATCTCGCAGCTTGCACATCCTGCTTTTACATTGGGTCAATTTTCTTCCTAGTTGCTGATGTGTGGCCTCGGTGATGTGGACGTGAATGACTGGAGGCAGCATTCTATTTACAAGAACGGCTACTGCCCGAACCACCCCGTCATTCAGTGGTTCTGGAAGGTAACTCCGGGGCCCAGCCTGTCCCGTGACCTCTGTGGCGCCCTGCCTGTGCTCCGACTTTAGGACTGATGCTGCCACTGGGGTCTGTTAGTGCTTGGACTCCTGGGGTAGGGAACAGGCAAACTGAGCCACCAGCCCCCGTGGCGACTCTTCTGTAACTGTAGCGGACAGCTAGACTTGAATGAAGTTGGTCCCTACAAAAGCACACTGGCCTTCCTTGATCACCTTCTGAAAGTGACTTTTATTTGAGGGACTGCTCCTCCAAAGTGTAAATAGAAATGGGGGAGGGGGGCTTCTCAGGGCATAAACAGGCTTCAGGGGTGGCTTTGCAAGATGTCACTTTCTGTGAAGAAGTCATTTTCTCCATTTTTAAAGTACATTCCAACAAACATTTTGATCTGTATATCTTTCAACCAAAGATAACATACATTTGATTTATTGCCTTAGGGCCAGTGTTTGTATCCCGTTCAGCTTCGGATGGAAGTAAAATAGGAATGGGTTAGTTCAAGGGAAAGATAGTAAACTTTAAAAAAAAAAAAAAAAAAAAGTTACCCCCCAAAAAGACTGATTATTTACTTCACCCCAAAAAAGGAATCATTTGACTTTTTCAAATTTCTTTTATTTTTATTTATTTTTTTTGTAAAGATGTGGTCTCACTATGTTGCCCAGGCTGGTTTCAAACTCTTGGACTTAAGCAATCCTCCTGCCTCGGCCCCTCAAGTTGCTGGGATTTTAGGCATAATTCACCATGCCCAGCCTTTTTGCACATTTCTGAATGCCTTTTATTACTGTTTCAAAAGCCAGCAGGAGTGTAGAGAGATTTTTTAAAAAGCAGAGTCTTCAAATCCCCGTCCAGGTCTCCCTTAGCTTGGTTGTAGATGTTTACTACAGCAGTCCAAGTGACATTACCAGTAAAGCCACCTAGATTCCTGTAATACTGCAGATATGTAAGCTACACAGATTGCTTTAGAACCCCATCTCTGCCTCTGGTTGGTTTTGGTTTTGCTTTTGTTTTTTTCCATTTTATAAAATGATACCTTCTGGGGAATGTGTCTACAATCTGAAATCCCATCTCATAACCTGGCTTCCCCTTGTGATGACACATTTTAAATACTGTGTATTTATAATTGGCTTGGGGGAACTGGTAAGCCTCGAACACAGAAACATGAGCTCAGTGCCATCAGAGAGTTTGCTTTTTATATCATTTATTTTGGCCTATTGGCAGAAGAAGAAAGAGACAGATGTTGTGATCACTTAGTCTCTGAGATTAGAGAGGCCAGCTAGCATTGTGGCCATAAAAAAACTACTCAGTTTTCAGAGTCAACTCTCTAGGTCTTACATTGCAATATAAATAAGATTAAGTTCTGCCTGCCTGCGTGACAGCAGCATGTGCCGTGGGTCACGTGGAGGATATAATGACCCTCTGCCTCTGTTCATAGGCTGTGCTGCTCATGGACGCCGAAAAGCGGATCCGGTTACTGCAGTTTGTCACGGGGACATCACGAGTACCTATGAATGGATTTGCCGAACTTTATGGTGAGCAGGATGCCATTAGATTCAGTTGTTCTCCTGTGAATTTCCAGCCAGGCATGAACTGTGGCCCAAGAACCCCACCTCTCAGGCCTCTGCATAAGGCTAAGTTTCAGGACAATGTGCTATGCATAGGGTGGATAGATGTTCAATGAAAGGGCTCTTATCTATACTTTATGTAGATAGCATATAGATACACTTTATATAGATATCTCTACTTTATATAGATACAATGGTGCTTCTACCTCAAGGGATTGGGGGGCAGTTTGTAAAGAGATCCATAAGGCTACTCTTTTTTTTTTTTTTTCCTAGTTTAGTTTTTTTAGTAAACCATTAAAAACTAGGTTTTGCAGGGTCATTCATGTGGTTGCAAACTAATGTATAAAGTCACCTCCAGTAGGCAGAATTTTTCAGTGTTTACCGTAGATTTAAAAATCACTCTCTACTTTGCATACTGAAGGTCACATTTTATTCACCCACCCACCCCCAATAATAGTTTGAAATTTAAATTTCCAGGGTCCAGCGGAGAGGCTGTCGCTGCCTGCCCTTCCACGGAACTGTCGTGTTTGTTAAACTTGGTGCAGTTCCATTCTAGAGACCATGTGGAGTCTCTGCGAGGTGCAGACCTCTGGCTTCCCCCAACATTAAATATCAATGTTGCAGAAGAGAGTCTCAGGCCTCGCCCCGGGGGGCATCCCTGCCCCGGCAGTAGCTGGACTGCAGACCACACCATAGCTTCGTTCTTCTGCCCTAGGCACTTACATTTCTCTTTCTTTTCTTGCCTAGGTTCCAATGGTCCTCAGCTGTTTACAATAGAGCAATGGGGCAGTCCTGAGAAACTGCCCAGAGCTCACACATGGTGAGTGACAAAAACACCTGCATGTCAACAGCAGTATTTGAACTGCTTAGCTGGGTATGGTGCTGGGCTCGAGGCTAGAGAATGCTCTGTTTCCTCTCTGTAAGTAGCTTAGAGAATTAAAGGACAGTGATGTGGATGAAAATATAAATGGTACAGTAGTGCTAATAAGACAGAATGCACTTGTGTTTGGCAGCAAAGGGCTCAGGCCTCCCTGCCGTGGGGAATTTCTTCTCTGAGCCCAGTCCGTCTTCCCTCATTTTTCTAGGTAATGGAGCTTTCAGTGTTCATCACACTTAGATAAGGCCATTCTAGGCGTCTATAAACACATTGGGTTTTTACTCCAACCTTAAACTGGCTGAGAAGTTAGGATAAAATTCCCTGTAGAAACAGCCGTTGTAAAAGGCCTTCTATGCTCATGAATAACCCGTAATTCCCTGGAATTGAGCAGTAACGTGACTGTGGTCGGAGGAGGGTAAGAGGGCTGACATGGAGCATGGCTGGAGCATGGCTGTCGTCGGAAGGCCCTCTCAGGAGGCACAGTGAGGCAGAAGGGTGGCAGTTGTTTTCTGAAGAGTTGCGTGAAACCCAGCACAAATGCAGACTGGATGGGATCCGTTTCCTGAAGCCGGGTTCAGGGAGCTCTTGCGAACTCCAGCTCCCATGCCCCTCATGTTGGTTTTCTGCAAAGGCCTTTATTTCTTGCTCATGAGGAAGCAGCAGGAGTGGGCCTTCTGGAAAACGGTGAGCAGTGTAGCCCTGTGTTTCTCATGCAGCGGGAGCTGCAAAGCCTGTTCCGGCCATACCGAGCTAACATAAGCAACCAAACAGTCCCTGCAGGAAACACCCTCCCTTAAACTAGAAGTGCTGGCTAGGAGAGAATTCTCATAAAAATGTATTTGTGAAAACTTGACTGCGAAAGGTTTTTTGCTTCCGTCGGATGCCCCTGCCTCACCAGAAAGGCGTTTGGTGTTTTTTCCATTCGTACCATTCATGTGATTCTCCGAAGTAATGAATACGGTCATCGCCGGTCAGAGCCTTGAAAGCGAGCGGACTCCAGCCTAAATCCAGAGCAGTCTTTGTGTGTGATTCTCTGCATATATTCGAGGGGAAGAATGCTTGAGTAGTTCAGAGCTTTTATCCAAACAGTATCTGAGTCAAATGTGGTTTTCTGAGTTCCGGCCTCCATGTGCAAGGCACTGGCGTTGAGCCAAGCCCCAGGACTGTGGGTGGCGATGCAGAACGTAAGCTTGTGGTGCTAACCGATGAATATTAGGAAAAGTGAAATTATTGGGCACAGTCATCATCTGTGGTCAGGCACTGCTTAATCTTTATGGCAGCCTGTTGAGATATGTTATTCCCCTGGGCTGTCAGGAAGCTGGCCCAAGGGTCACCTAACTCATAGCTTCCCAGATCATGGGATGTGAACTCAGTTCTATCAGAATTGGAGTCTGCGCCCTTAACCACTACACCAGATACACTGCCTCTGTTAATATACCCACTTTCTTTTTAGACTTTTCCAAGGAAACCAAATTAGTGAACCAATTTCATGTTCATTCAGCCCGTGTTCCTCTGTGATTTCATGGACACATGTCTTAGTATTGAACTGTTTTGTTTTTTTGTTTGTTTGTTTTTCTGGAGCCCACATGATTCTGCCACAGGTAGACCTTCCCAGATAAGACCTCTGAACTCAGTGGTTCTCAGCCTCGGCTGCATGTTGAAACCATCTGGAGAGCTTTAAAGAAATCACTGATTTGGACTTCATTGGTCTGGTGTGTGACCTGGGCAGTGGGATTTCCAAAGCTCCCCAGATGATTCTGGGGCAGAATCATGTTGAAAATTCACAGGAAGGACAAAGATCTACCTACAGGAAGAGAACAGCCCACCTGACTCTTAGCACAGCTTATTTTCCTCTTTCTGTGTCGTGGAAAGAAAGCAACTATATAGTTTTCCAAATGATATTCCCCCCAGACTAACTTGACCCTGATAGAGGGGACTGGCAGTTGCAGGTAGCACCGGCTAGCATGGTGAGGCCGTTCTGCAGCTACTTCTAAATGGCTTTCCTCTCCACCAGACCCTGACTATATTGACGTAGGAAACAGGAACTTCACTGTCTGTTTCATGGCAAGAGTTCCGCCATAAAATTTCGCCATACGTAGGTCTCATTTCTTCCATGTTTTAGATACACAGTTAAGGTTCAAAATAAAAATCTGATTTCCTAGAAGAACAGAAGCTGATGGATCGGGGTCTTTGTGATGAGGGTTCGTTTCATTAAGCTTTCCAGTAGTGACTATTGAACATCTGACATTGAAAGGGCTTCATTTCATTGTTCTGTAAAAGGTCACTACTCGGACATTTAAAATTACTCTTCATTAAGAAACACAGGCCCACCTGCCCTTTGAGATAGACTCTAAAGCAAACAAAAATCATCTCGTTCAGCCCATGCTTCTTCCGCATGAGGATGCTAAAGCCCTCTGAGGACAATGCGCTCCTCAAGGACACCCAGCTTGTTAGTGCACATGGAAGCTAGGTGCATGTGTCCTGACCTCCAAAGTGATAGGAACTGATGCTCACCAAGTACTCAGTACCTTCTGGGGATGTTGCTAAGCATTTGATGTGATTGACTCATAGCATCATCACAGTGGTCCTAAGAGGTGGGTGATGTTATGACCCACTTAGATGAAAAACACTAAGATGCTAAGCAGGGAAGCGTTAAGTAGCATGCTTCGGAACCTCTGATCTTGACAGCCCGTCTCTGCCTCTTCATCTTGCCAGTGTTTCTCAAACCTGAATAATCTGTGGACCTTTTTTAAAGGGAAACGGTGGTCACAGATCCTCAAGAATGGGCCTGAGACCCCTATGGGGTCTCAGGACTGTGAAACCCCAACTGAAAAGCCTGAAGCTGCTTGCCATGAAAGGCTCTTTTAAATGCCATCTGTAGTTGTGGAGTCCTGTCTTTACTGATATGATAACAGAAAGTGAAAAGCCTCTGTTAGTACTTATTTTTGTAGGATTCCTGGGTTTCTGAGAACCCCAGTTTGAGAAGCACAGTGTTATTCTCTATGTCTTTCAGTGTTTAGTGGCGGTTAGAGAATCTGAGCGGAGTTCACTCCACCCAGATGGGACTTATTCAACATTTAGGGGTTGTTAAAGGGCCCTCTACAGTATTTGGTTTTTTCTGTTGCTGTAACAGTGGTGAGCTTTTCGTGTATGTGCTGCGGAAGCAAGCACGTGGTGGTTAGCTTTTACAACATGAGAAGTTACTGTGCTCATTCTTGGAACCACAACCCAGTACCTGGAGGGGCCGGTTTTAAACAGTGTGAGCACTCGTGGCAGAGGCGGCACAAGTGCACCTCAAGAGCTGGGCTCTGGAGCACCCTGGGCTGTACCTGGCTCTCCTGCTTCCCGTGTGACCTAGGGTAAGTTACCTAACCTTGCTGCGTCTCACGCTCGTCCTCTATGAAATATGGATGCAGCGTTACCTACCTTACAAAGTGATGGCCAGGGTTCATAACACTGAGACAGGCTGATGGGCCACGTGAGTACTTCGTGAGCATGGGCTCTTCTTATGTCATAGTGAGCTGTGGCAAGTGTGTGTGCCGTTTTCATGACAGATACACATCAGCAACTCCCACCCCACCGGCGCGCGCATGTGCGCACACACACACACAGTCACTCACAGAGAGGTGGAGGTTCTGTGGCTGGAGGTGCTGGCCTTGAGCCCCATGTAGATAGTCAGTAAACATTGAAGGGTGATGACACTGATAACTGTCTCTTGAGCAATTGAGCACTTGCTGTATGCGACACCCACTGATCTGATCCATTTGGCACCCTGTGTGCAGTTTCCCCATGTCACAGAAGCATAGACAGATTCAGAGAGGCGAGGTGACTTGCCCAAGGTCACACAGCTGGCAAGTGGCAGAGCTGGGATTTGAACTTGATCGCATGGACGAGTGGGCTTGATGGCTGGCAGAGGCCATCCATTTGTCTAAAAACCTTCACTATCACCATGGTGATTTGCAGCCCCCACCCCCAGCTGAAGCCTCCAGATAGGTAGAGATTTCTTCTAAATGCAACATTCCATAGCAAATGTGAATTGTGCCTGACTTTGATCAGAGGAGGTAGCTTAGCACTGGTGTTCTGGAGCCCCGGACAGCCTGGGTTCTGTGATGGATCTGCCGTATGACAAAGAGTGTGACCTCAGGCACCTTGCCCTGTGTCTCTGCTTCAGGAGCTCCTGTGCAGAATGGAGATAAACATGACCTGCTTCATAGGGTTGTGATGAAAATCAAGTGATTTAATACAGAGAACAGCACTTGGCTTGAGGCCTAGTGTGGAGTAACAGTATTAGAGGTAGACACAGTCTGAATTCGTGTGTAACTCCAAAAGCATCAACTCTGTGTTCCAGGGTTTGGAAATCTTGCCAGTTACTTTGCATTTTATATTTCCCTTCCCACCAGGATTCTTCCAAGATCTGCATCTGACTCTAGGAAAGGTTTCATGGACCGTTCAAAAATGTTCTTTCTCTGTAAATTACAAGAGCTTATTTAGCGTCGATGTTTCATAGCTAGAGTTTTGTTTTGTTTTTCCCCAGATAATCAAAATTGTTGGTAAAGGCATTTTGATTCTCTTAATGGAACACCATGCCTTGTTAACCAGATCTAGGAGGTGCTGTTGTGGCTTTTCACCTACATTTTTTGTTCCTTTTGCAGCTTTAATCGCCTTGACTTACCTCCGTATGAAACCTTTGAAGATTTACGAGAGAAACTTCTCATGGCCGTGGAAAATGCTCAAGGATTTGAAGGGGTGGATTAAGCACCCTCTGCCTTGGGGATGGTTGTTCTTCAAGCAAGTTCTGCTTGCACTTTTGCATTTGCCTAACAGACTTTTGCAGAGGCGGTGGCAAAGAGCAGCTACAGGCATGGCCCCTGGAGCCGAGCCTTCGCCATGCGCTCGTCCAAGTTTGGATGCGGGAACCAGGTCCCAGCTTGAGTTCCTGCATTTCCCACCACAAATTACCAACTGGTTGATATGTACACTCATTACATTTCAGGAGGACTTACGCTATTTATGTTGTGCCTCTGCAGGCAAAGCCCTTAATAAATATTTTTCATCCTTTCTAATGACAATGAATGGAATTAATCACTCTACAGGTATAGTATTACAACTCATGTTTACTTTTTAAAATGATTTAGACCGATTTTCAGATTTCATTATGATTAAAAATGTCTCATGTACTTGGAAAAGTGAGATTTTTTTTTGTTTTTTTTTTTGTTTTTTTTTGTATTTCACTTTCATACCAGGCTTAATGTCAATGACATTTTTATTCTTGAAGTACTCTGACACCTCCACCCCTCTACTTTATTAGAATTGGAAGGCAAGTTTTTGTCCAAAAACCTTCTACAGACAAGTACTTTGAGAGAATTTCCAATATAATATTAGACATAATGATAATTTTTTCCATACTCAGAATGAAAAACTGGGTATTACATTTCTGTTTTGGGTTTTTTTTTTTGGTTTTTTTTTTTGGTTTTTTGTACAAATTTAGGTAATAGCTACAGGCGGAGAGAATTGTAACATAGCATGACAAATTTTGTGTTGACTTGAAAGGAATCACACCATTATTCCTTAGAAGTAATTACATATGCTCTAACACATTTGAGACAGGGTTGGACTACCATTTCTCCTCAGAGAAATTACTTAACCCTTCCTGATGCTGTACAGTCATCTTTTATTCTACTTCCTCTTTGCTGTTTGTAGTAGAGACATTTTGAATGAAACTTGGCACTGCTTGATTCAAAACTGTAGAAACCAGATCCGTTACGTCTCCCGTTTGTATGCGTTTGCTAATGGTAGCTAAATAACCAGATTTTGTTGTAAATGTACCAATTCCGGAGGCACTTTATGTACTACCTGGAGGTCATATCTGGTTTTGTTTTTTATTTTTTTATCATGAACATTAAATGTGATGATGATTTCTTTTCCCTGCACACATCTTTCCGGTGCAATATCTATCAATTGTGAATCTGGCTGCTGGTGTATAAAAACCTGGATGTAAAGCTGAGCCTACAGACCTGTCCTCACCAACTGTTCTGTGATTTCTACTCAACTACAAAGATTTATTTAATGTACACTTAATCTAACCGAGTTTTGTTACCGATGACCTACTGCATGCTTCGATAGTACGTACTGCCTGCATTGTGTCCGTTGTGTGCTAGATTAAAAGTGAGACAGAAGACTTGACCGCCCAGTTCAGGCTGTTGAGCTGGTGGTGGCGGAGGTCTGAGGGTACCCGCACAGTTTGATTCTTTTCTACGTGTAAGTCTCTGTTGCAGAATTGTCGTGCTTTGGGAGAACACCTGAGACAGTGTGGGCGTTGAACGACCCTGCTGTCCTTTTTAACCTGTGTTGTCCTAGACCCTGTCGGGGCAGTTAGAGGGCACTAGAGATTTGATCTCATGCCAGTCATCAATAGGACAAAAAAGTTGTGGTTTGGGGAGGTCTGCTTGTTACATAAAAAGGACCTTTTGGTGTAAGAAATTGCCTGTTTTTACCCAGCCCTGGATGGCATGTGAGAAGCCATAGGAAGCTGTGGTTGTAATTGAGTTGTTTAAAGGGGTGCAGAGGCCTGAGGTTTCTAAAAGAAGGTAGATTTCTACAGAGCTGAGTGTTGGTTCCTTTTAATTATTGATTGAAAAAAGACCTAGTAGTGATCAGAAAATGTAGATGTTATATAACTTAAAAAAAAAATATATTCTCATTAGTTTTGACTGTTGGTGAGATACTTCCTTTACAGTTAACATAACAAATGTCTCAGTGGCAAAAATCCCCTTTTTGTAAGCCCCCATAGTCCAGAGTCAGCTCTTTTAAGGACCATGCCGGAGCCCGAGTTGAGCAGTATGTTTTCTTGGCTTTTGAGAGTGATCGTGTAACTGTAGAGGGAGAAATCCACTTCTAGCCTAAGAACTGGGATTCTACCGTCATCTTGTAAACTGCATATTGAAAACCACAGAATTGTCACTAAATGCATATTAAGTATTGGAAAGTATAAGAGAAAAATCATTCTGACAGTTTCTAAGCCAGGAGCAAACAAGAATTATTGAAATCTACCCCATGAATGCTTGACAGTAATTGTGAGTGGCACCTCAGTTCATCAACCCTTTGATAAAATTAGCTTGATTTTAATGACAACCAAATATTGCTGAATGGGGGTTTAGTATTTTTTAAAAAGTAAAGCAAGGTTCCCTAGTCCTCAGCAATTCTCAGTTTCTCTCTTTGCCTAAAATGGTCATAGATCTTGATTTCTCTAAATTGCAATGACCACGCCCAGCCATCTTCACAACATAGTTGCAGGTAGCGGTGAAGACAGTGTGCTGGGTCATTCCTTGGGCCCCAACCTGCCCGGCAAGCAGCCCTGGCGGGAAGAGGGCAGTGTTGCCTCTCCCAGAGGTCCCAGCAGCCACACTGCTCTTCAGCTTGGGCGCTCTTTAGCCTCTGTGCTCTCCCAAGCTGGAGAAATCACCTTAATGCAGTGTCTTTAGTTGCCTGCGGACGCTGTAGTTATTATGGGCCACTTATACGAAGCTGGGAAGTACATGCCGGAAGTCATGCACTGCCTGTTGTGGGTCTCTTAATATCAGTTATCACGGCTGCCTGTGGGCCCCAGGTATTCCATTCCTGCCCCTTGTTGGCCCGGGGAAGGATTTGGAAAGGGCTGATGGGACAAACATCCCAACAGCCTGTGCATCTCCACTGCTGGCCCCGGAGCTGGCAGCAGTGAGGCATTCGTTCATTGTCTGAGTTATGGCGTATTCCCAGCTTCGGTGCTCTTTTCCTTTTTGTCAGAAATGTTTAATGTAGTTTAAATGCTTCTCTGTAGCCAATCCTCTAACAAATCACAAGAACAAATGTAAGGCATTTGGCTTTTGTTTCCAGGACCGTTCAGCAGGTGATGTCAGATACTCCCTAAATTCAGACAATGAAGGATACAGAGGGACTTGATGTATATTATTTCTCCTATATAAGGACAAAGGGACAGATAATGATGATGATTATTACTATTTTTATTATTTTGAGATGGAGTCTCTCTCTGTAGCCCAGGCTGGAGTACAGTGGCTCAATCTCAGCTCACTACAACCTCTGCCTCCCAGGTTCAAGCGATTCTGCTGCCTCAGCCTCCCCAGGTAGCTGGGATTACAGGCATCCACCATCATGGCCGGCTAATTTTTGTATTTTTACAGACACAAAATACAGGGTTTCACCATGCTGGCTAGGCTGGTCTTGAACTCCTGGCCTCAGGTGACCCTCCTGCCTTGGCCTCCCAAAGTGCTGGGATCACAGGCATGAGCCACCATGCGCGGCCTCACAGTGACAGATTCTGAGAAACAGTGCAAAACATTTGACCCATTTTCTACGTCTCCCATTGTTTCATAGACAGTGTGCACCGCTGCTGTTATCTTGCCAGATCCACAGTGGCCCTCTCAAAAGCCAGGTCCATACACAGCAACTTTTTAATTGTTCTAACAGTTACTCATTAGCAATCGACTCCTGTATTTCCTGAGAGTTTTGTACTCACCTCTGAAATTTCAAAATGTATACAGAGAGCCTTGGTTAATCAGTTCTGCAGCCCCTCCCCGCTGTGCTAGCTCTCCTCTCCTCTCTCCTCCTCACCCTGCCCCTGTACCCCTGTACTAAGAAGGTGGGGTGGGAGGTGCTGTCTGGCATCATTTTCTGCCTTGCCAGTAGGGGGTGCCACTGTGCATGGTAACTGCCTGGCCTGCTCCCTTTCTGACCTTCCCCACCCCGAAGATCACACGCTACCTCTGTCATTCAGGCATTGGGGTACATCCTGATAAGTCATGTCAGAACTGCCAATTTCAGGACTGAGATGTGTTTTTAAAACACAAATTCTTATAAACTCCACTTTGTACTTTAGATTTTAAAACTGGGAAGAACGGGATATTCTTTGGACCACTTTTTTATTTTATAGAAGCCTTAATAAACAGTGTCTATACACTCGCATACGCACACCCTCACCCCAGATTGTTCTCCGTATGTCAGAGAAAATGCCGTAGCATTAGGACGGGAGCTTGGAGAGAGTTTTCTAGAAAAAGGTTAGCTTCCTGTTGGCATGAAATTTTCCAAGCAGACCTCTCAGTCAGTATCTATCGTTTGTTAAAGATGTTCCACTCAAAGCAATGCATGTTTCAGGCGCATGTCTTTCTGTTCGCTGGTTTTCCGTGTGTAAGGAGTAGCGTTGCTGTTGGTCCCTAACCGTGCGTGCACTGCATTCTCAACCTCGTACCAGTGCGTCGGAAGCCATCCTCATGACGATGACTGTGTCTGCAGGTGTCTCTGTTCATGTGTAAGCCAGCTTTCCCCTTTTACTCAGACTGATTTCACCTAGATTGTCACCGTTTTCCTTCATGTTGATGTTATGTGACTTTGTTCTTCCTTTACTACTATGTATGTAATATATATGCATATATACGTACATATGCTGTCCAAATATATTTGTATATATTTGTATAGCATTTTTACACCTTTATTGAGCAATCTGGTTTCGAAAGGGAGTGAGAGCTTAATCCCTTCTACAGTTTTCTCGAAGCTGTGACCTGCAAATTGCTATCCTTGGAGCCTGAGAAAACCCTAGGAAGGTTATGTCAATTTGCTGTCATTTCTTAATTCAGGATCTATCATCAAATGAAACATGAAAAAACAGTGACTTTTAAGGTGAAAAGAATGTCAAGCATTCCAAATAAATTCTCAATGTTTCATAACTTTTTATTATAAACCCACCTCCTAATAGGAAGCCAAGTCCTATTTGATACAATGGTAAAAACCAAACTACCTTGAAGTTTTTTTTAAGACAACTTATGGATAATGCTCATTTTCACAATCAGAATAGCTTTAAAATATGGTTGAATTTGATACACACAGGAAAAGTTTTCTTTGAGAACAAATCCTTTTCGCTTTTCTTTTTCTTGAGAGATCTGAAGAGAAACTGTAGATTGTTTTCCTGACAGCAAAAGACTAATGTGACAAAATGAAGTCATTGTAAAGAAGTGATGCAACTTGTCAAATATTTAATAAAGAATTATGGAAGCTGGAACATTTTCTACATCAAGTATTATGGGTTGTTTGATTTAAAGCTGCTTTGTGAATGCACCGTCTTAATTGTTTCAGAGGGGTTTAAATGCCTGCAGATTTATAGTATGTTCATTTCCTTCATCTCCCTAAAAGCTCTGCACTTTTAAAAACATGAAAGCCTGGCTGGGCACAGTGGTTCAAGCCTGTAATCCCAGACTCTGGGAGGCCAAGGCGGGCGGATCACTTGAGATGAGGAGATCAAGACCAGCCTGACCAACATGACAAAACCCCATCTCTACTAAAAATACAACAACAACAAAAATTAGCCGGGCATGGTGGCACATGCCTGTAAACCCAGCTACTTGGGAGGCTGAGGCAGGAGAATTGCTTGAACCCGGGAGGCAGAGGTTGCAGTGAACCAAGATCATGCCATTGCACTCCAGCCTGGGTGACAGAGCGAGACTCCATTTCAAAAACAAAAAAAAATTAAAGTCTGCACAAAACACACAGCTTAGGCTTACTAAGAGGATGCACATTTATTCTTACCCATCTGCTGTTTTATTTTTTTATTAAACTTGAGAATTACTGATTTTATATAAAATGTGTATAATCCCTGTGAGTCTATTCCTGAAAAGGCATCTTTGTATCCCTGGCCCTCAACTTGTGTGAGAGTTGAGGAGACTCAATAATGAATTCCCAGAGTGCTTCTCAGAAAGGTGCTGTCAAAATCCAGACCGTGTGTCACTGCCCTTTGCAAACCCGGTGGCATTTTTCCCCATGCCATTTCATTCCGCTCAGATCATGTCAGGCTCCTGGAGAATTTTCCCTTTTTCTTTAATACTCGGCTTCCTCTTGATGTGCTCAGCCCATTCCCCTGGGGCAGACGAGACACCTGGGAAGGAGGTTGTCATTTCGTCGGCTTGTCTTTTTCCATTAACAGTAGATGGTATCTTGCCGAGAAGCTGTCGGCAGCACCTGGAATTCCTGCCCCCTCCTCCAGGGTTACGAGTACACGTGAGAGGCACAGCTGGACAGAGCCACTGTGAATATTTATATGTCCTTTCTTAAAGCCACCACACAGTGGAACAGATGACATCAATGACATAGTTGCTAGATTAATACTCTTTTAACCTGCTCTGAAGTCCACGCATTCATCAGGCACTTGTGAAATGTTGAAGCCCCCCGTAAAAGTATTTGTGGTGAGCATGAGTATCCGGAATTCTGACGCTAGCTTTCCCAGGGTTGGCCCTCAGAGCCATGTTCAAACGGGTCCGTGGGGTAAGAACGCAAAGGCCGCTTTCTGACCATTTTCTGGGAGAGAACACTTGTCAAAACAGTGAGCTTCTGGAGAGCTCAGGCTGTAGAATCTCTAAGAAATCATTTATAGGACTTGAATTGGGCAGGAAAAAATGAGCATGAGCTTACTTAAGACCCAAGACACAGTCCCTGGTAAGTAGACCACAGCACCCAGCTGTGACCCAGTGGGGGCTGAAGAGGGCAGGAGAGTCCCTGTTGGGTCCCTTGTAGGGCTGACCTTAGGCCAGAATGGGAAAAAGGTCAGCCACTGCCATTAGCCTGTTCCTGTGTCCCTCCCTGCCCAGCCCCCTCCACAGTGCCCCGTGCCTCGTGTTCCTCCTCCCCTTTCCCCTACAAAGTTCCCGGCTGGGCTGCATGTCTTGGGTACCTGGACTGTTGACAGCGCAGAGCCCTCCCGTCACCTCTTAGAAGAGTGGCCGTCACTTCACGGGGGCCTCCTGGGGACAAGGCCTCCTGAGCCCTCAGTGCTTCCAGGGGAAGGTCAGAGACTCCCTGGGAGAAGGTCACCTTCTCCCAGGCCCACTCAAAGCACAGAGTCCCACAGGGGTTCAACTCTTCCAGGTCCTCTGCCTTGGTGTTTGAGCTGGCTGCGATAACCTCATCCTCTTTCTGGCCAGGTGCCCCCAGAACCCACCTTTTCAGACGTGCCCTTTTACCAGGGCTCCAGGCCCCCTCCCTCACACTCTGCAGCCTTGCTGCCCAGTTCCCCGTTGGAATCGGGAGGGGAGACCGTGTTTCCGCCGTGCCTTTTTGCCCACTGCCAACACCAGTTCTTGGAGAAAGCCTTTCTTCCTCTCCGAGGAAAGGGCTTACTTGCAGACAAATTTGTTTGGAAGGAGTGTACGGTACTAGAGCAAGCACACCCCCAAACTGAGCAGACTGAAACTGAATAGGGCCGAGAGGGTGGTGAGAGCCACATTCCTCTGACTAAAGGCAGATTCGGGTAGTGTCTCAGCAGTGCCCTTCCAAGGGAGTGTTAAACACTGTTGCTAGAATCAGGGAGTCGAGCTGTCAATCCTATTTGGCCTTACCCAGACTGAGTACCAGCTAAAGGCAGAAGGTTCCACGCTCAGAAGCCTGGGGCTCAGCAGTTGGAACCGCATGCTCATGGAGTATGTGGCCCTGCAGGGCTGGCCTTGCTTTGTCTAATGCTCACTTTTTCCACATGAGTCCTGGGGTTCTTGTCCTCGATCAATCCAGTTAGGACCAGTACTGTGGGCCTGGAGGACCAGTTTTGTTTGCATTTGTGGCCTTGGACTCTGCTAGGGCACCCCTGCCTCTCCTGTACAGACCCCGAACAGCTGCCCCTGTGGGCGCTTCTCCCGGGTAGAAACCTGAGGGCGAGGGTGGTCAGCTTCTGACTGCCCCTGTGGGCCGTGGAGTCGGGCAGGACCTCATTCACCCCACCACCTCCACCCTGTGGCTGGTCTGCTGCAGAGGGGCTGCTTAACACTGAGCTCAGGAAGAGCAACCAGGAAGAAGCTAGATGAACGGCCCAGCTTGGGCAGTTGGGAGCTGGGGGTAGTGGACAGACCACCTTGGCCTGGAGGCTGCCCCGGCAGAGACACAGCCAGCAGGGGTTCCATCCTCCTCCTTCCCAGTTCAGGCAGAAAACCCAGGTTTCCCCAGGAAATCTGCAAGCGCATTAAGCTGGTCTCTCCTTTAAAAAAGAGCAAGGACAGAGACAGTCCTACCTGTCCTGAGCAGGACGGGCCCTGTGCCCAGGGCCAGGCAGTAGCACGCTAGCACTGTAGGTGGGGAAAGGGCCAAGGAGCCCAAGAGGAGTTGTCAGCAGGACAATTTAAAGAGTGTAAGTAAACCAGGCTCGGTGATTCACGCCGGTAACACCAGCACTTTGGGAGGCCAAGGCGGGCAGATCACCTGAGAGGTCTGGGGTTTAAGACCAGCCTGGCCAACATAGTGAAATCCTGTGCCTATTAAAATACAAAAATTAGCCGGGCGTGGTGGCGTGTGTGTGTAATCCCAGCTACTCGGGAGGCTGAGGCATGAGAATCGCTTGAACCCAGGAGGCGGAGGTTGTAGGTGGTAGGATGTGACCATTTGGAGATCTGCCAGCCTACTGCCCACACATCCCGATGAGCGATAAATTCATTTGTACTAAGATGTGAATGACTGATAGGCTAAACACACGACCCAGAAGAATTTTTAACAAATACCAAAGGTGATGCTTGGTTTAAATCAAAAGGAATAAGGGTCAAAATTATGGCATTTATGTCTCAGCAAATTGGGGAGGTTTTTCAGGGTAGGGGCCTACAAAAGTTTACAAAATCCACTGTGAACATGAGGTGCCAGCACAGTGTGAAAAGACATCCTGATCTCTGGGACAGGCCCAGTTTAGAAATACCTCATGTAGATGAGGGTTGATAATGGCACGTGTGTACCTATGCAACAAACCTGCACGTTCTGCACATGTACCCCAGAACATAAAGTATAATAAAAAATAAAAATTGTAAAAGGCGCTGCACTGCCTTTCTGGCTGCCACAGGACAGAACCCCCCCACCCACCTCCCTCTAGCCTTCCCCACACCACAAAACAAGCACCTCATATTTTCCAGGTACCTTCCAGGAACAACATAAACTTCCTTCTGGCCAACAGAGATGAAGGGCTGAAGGGACCAGAGACTGAAGACTGGATTTTCTACTCCCAGGAACTCTTTGATGGAGCTCTGAGATGTTGAGTTTTTAAAAGAGCTTCTGTTATTAAAGGATTTTAGGTATTAACTTGTAACATGCAGTCATGCACCACATAAAGACATTTTAGTCAGCAATGGAGCCCATACACAATGATGGTCCCATAAGATGATAATGGAGCTGAAAAATTTCTGTCTCCTAGTCATATTGCCTAGCGACATCATAGCCTTTGCCATGCTTCACCCTTTCTGTGTTTAGCTACGTTTAGATGCACAAACACTTAGCATAGGGTTACAGTTGCCTGTTGTATTCAGAACAGTCACAGGCTGTGCAGGTTCGTAGCCTCGGAGCCATGGGCTGGGCCATATGGCCTAGGTGTGGAGCAGGCTATGCCGTCCGGGGTGGTGTGAGTACACTGATGTTTGCACAATGATGAAACCACCTAACAACGCATTTCTCAGTGTGTCCCAGTTGTTAAGCAACCCATGACTGTATTTAGTATTGTTTATAGCAGAAAGATTGAGTTTGGGATTTGTCTTTTGAATTCTAGTTATGTAGCTCTCTTAGCGATTCTAAGACTCTGCCGCTGGGGTCGTCACCCTCCCTCACAGTCCCTCTCGCCATGACCTCAACCCCCTACCCTGGCCCTCTCTTGCCTTCTCTGCATCCTATATTTACTTAGAAGAAGATCCTTGCTTGTTCATCAGTTGAGGCTGCCAGGGGGACATGCCCTCCCCAATGTAATGAGTGTTTAAACAACAGTCAGGCCTTTGAACCCCAGGCTCCAGTTAAAAAGTAACAGGCTAGATACTGAATCAATAGGAGGCAAATATTAGCTACAGAGGCTGAGAGAGAGAGCATTGGGAAACACTTGCTGCTGGTGACATGCAAAGAGCAATGGCCATACCCACCTGAGGTCCAGGAACCCCTGGGAGCCCCATGACCTTGGGTCATTGTCCTGCTCTACATGTTGAACATTGAAGTCACCAGCCCCTAATTAGCTTCCAGACCTCCCTTGGTCTGGACTTCTGTAATATGCCGCTAACGGGTGTCCACCTGATT